CGCCCCCCCCCCCCCCCCCCCCCCCCCCCCCCCCCCCCCCCCCCCCCCCCCCCAAACCACCAAGAAACCAAGATCGACAGTTCTACCCAGGCTATCCTCCCAAAAGGAAGAAAAGACGGAAAAGATGCTGAACCAGAGAGAATGAAAAAAAGAAAAAAAAGAAACAAAAAGAAGAAACAAAAACAAACAACCGAGGAAGGGAAAAGAAAGAAGAAAAAGTAACCTCCCCTCCTAATGCGGCTCCTCACAACCTCGCACCACACAAACGCAAACGCACTTACACCCCGAAACTCCCCCTCCATCCAGAAATACGAACGAGGCGAAATCCCAAACTACCACTGTACCGCATGTACGTACAGCAACAAAGATCCAAACTTGACCTGAGCTTCTCTCTCCCTTGTCTCTCCGTCTTCCAGCCCCCCCATCCCCAAGAGCAGCCTAGCCCCAGCGAGCCACCCGCAGCCCGTGGGAATAGCTGCAAAAACCAAACTATGCTTAAAAACCTGCTAGTCGACTTCAGCCCCAGGATGCCAGCCGCGTCTCATTCGCCGCGGTGGATCCCGTGGTTTGATGAGCTGAAGGAATCAAGTACTCGTACATACAGCAAAAAAAAAAAAAAAAAGAGGAGAAACAAACTCGGTGCAAAAAAAGCGAGTACGACTAGAGGAACTTGGTTTGTTGTACGTGCATTGCATATCCCCTTTCCCGCTAATGTACAATGACAGTCCAGTACGAGGCTAATCTATCTACTGTACTGCAAAGGAAGAACAGACAGGACTCGTAATAAGCACGAGGCGTTTCGGACAAGGGGGAAGGACATGAGAGCCACGGGAATCTCGTCCTTGTTTTTCAGCTCGTTTTGAGCCAAGAATGTGCCACGAGAGTGTTGGATAGCACCATCAACTATCGACTGGTTCCCTTGTCAGCTACATGCAGTAAACACAACTCGCCACTCTCTGTGTCTCACTCTTTCATCTCTTCGCTTCTGCATTCTCACCCAAGAATCAATAATGCCGAAAAAAAAAATCAGTTCAGAATCAGGCCCCGACAGCACCCCCCCTGTCAAGCCATCAACTGCGGCTGGACGCAGTGCGACGCTGCAGCCGAGCCACGCCCCTCTCTCCCTACATACCGCCAAGCATGTTGGTAGGAATAAGTACGCTGCTAGTATAATATGTGGTAGTAGCAGAATGATGCTAACATGGCCGGAGAAAAAAAAGAGAGAGAGGGAGAAATCAAGGTGCAGGATGCTGCTGTTTTTAGGCACAAGCAAGCAGGGCAATTTCCATCTCAGCCCGTGTTAGTCCTTGTGATTCCTACTTACACCCTTGGCCAGAAGCGCCCACCGATTTGTGCGCCTCTTGTACGACTCTGTGCTCATCCAAATAGTTTAGCAGTAATAAAACCTCGTTTTTCAAGGAATAATATATCCAGCATGATCCCATCCACCTCACCCCCTTATCATCATCCTCCCCCCATGAGCCCTTTTTCTCACCACCAGCACCCCGTCCTCAGATGCATCACAATCCCCAGTCTGCCTCGATGCCCAAGAAAATGCACCTTGCACAAAAAAACAGCAAAAGCGGCAGCCACATCAGTCAAAAATCAAATCAGACCAAAGAAAAAAAGCAGACCCCAGTCTGCAAGGCTGAGCCAACGGGACGAGACAAGCTCCCGCCCTTGTCTCTCTCTCCTCCCACAATCTTCCCCATTTTGCGCCGGCCAAATAGTTGGCAATGCTACAACTAGTGGCAATAGTATGAAGCAGCTAGTTCAGAGATGCAAAAACACAAGAGTCAAACGGCCAAGATCAACCGTCGAGGCTGCGTCTCCCATTTAGCGCCGCCAACCATGTGAAAATACGCCTTGCCTTGAAAAAGCCCACCCACCAAGAAAACAGAAAGGAAGAAGAGAAGCATCCTGCAGAGACAAGGGAAGAAAGAAAAAGCAGCTAGCTGTGTTCTGAGCCCTCTCCTCGTAACCCTGCGGTATAGTCCTCCCATCCTACTTACATTCAGGCAAACGAGAAAACACGCCCGTCTGTCAAACTCACCATGAGAAACAAAAAGGCAGGGTCGCATCGCATCGCCTTGATGAGGTCCTTGCTCCATGTCCCGCATCTTCTCGTCAGATAGTACAAAATAAAAATCCCGAAATGTCCACAATTTCTCCATCCTTGCGCGATAAGGTAGGTAGTCTAGATGGATTACTCTCCGGCATTGAGAGGATCCATACGAGCACATGCATCACTCGTCTGTCTGTCGATTCATTCATTCTCTTGGGTGACAATCCATCCACCACGGAAGCACAATTCAAGCAAAGCAAGTTGTTCGTAGCAGGCCTCAGAAATGCAAAAAAAATCGCGCTCGTAGAAAATAATCGATCAACAGTAAAGTCAACTCGAGTTATTGCTGTTAATATCGTGCCGCGTCCCAATTTCCCTGCGCCTCCAATTACTCACTTTAATCAACTCACCCTGTGCTCCGTCAAACCTTTGTAAGCCAAAGACCATCTCGTTCTGCCATGGCACCTCGACTGCTCCCATCCACATCTTCTTCAATTTGTAACCACCCAACCGCCTCGCTCGTCGCTTCGGATACTCTTCACCGCCAACGTCAACGCATGCACAAATGGTCAAGGTGAAACAGAAAACAGGCCAAAGAGAAGCTTCATTACTACTAGCGAGTCAGCAGCAAGCCAGAACCTGCGCGTTAACAAGACACCGGCCCAGTAAAATTCCCACAGCAAAACAAAGAGGGTCGCAAAATACCTTCAGAGTCGGTCACCTATAACAACATATACTCAATCTTAAAAAGGTACCAGTGAATTCACCTCCCGGGCTTCATTCCAGCACATCTCAGTCGAAAAGTCTCACAGGTTGTAGAATGGCAAATTCCTCGCAAGGCCGCGCCTCAACAGTCCGAAATTCTCGTCATCTCCCTCTCTGACCTCGCCCTTCCGGAGTAAGAAATCCAGCATGACGAGTCCGCAGTTCGGCTTCCACTCGGCATTCTTCAGGTCCCTCTTGACTTCTTCCACGGGCTTCAAGATAAACCCATCAATGGACTCCGGCTCCTGAGGATACGGGACAAAATCGGGGCCAACCTCCAGATCATAGGTGTATCGGATCCCCGGTTCAACATGGCCCTCTTCGTTGCCGGCAATGTGGTCTTTTTGGTCATAAAACGAAATCATCGATTCGGCCGTGACTTTACCGACGTGGCTGCTGTTCCAAGTCACCATATTCGTGGCGGTATCGACCAAAAGCCCTGCTTCTTCCATGGCTTCACGCCTGAGCGTCACCAAGGGCTCCATGTTGTCGGCCGGGTCCATCGCTCCCGCAACCAATTGGTCGAGCTTCCTGGCATACGTGACGTTTTGAGAGCGCTTTGAAACCCACACATGGATCCTGCCGTTCCTGACGGTAAACATGTTCATGTGAACACCCGTCGTGACAATGCCAAAGATTCCCCTGGCAGGCGAGGGGATCACCAATCCAGCCAGCTTTACGTCAATGCCGCGGATTGGGTGAAAGTCTGATCTTTTCTTCAGCCACTTTCTGAAGCAGCCGTTGAGGTTGTCGGCGTTTTTCTCGCATAGTGCTATGAATTCGCGGCGGCATATTTCGACAACGTCGTCACCCGGCTTGACGACCGGATCCAGGTGTATCTTGCGCTTAGACTTGGAGACACGGAAGCTTGTATTGTCCCATCTAATCTCGGCGACATGTTCAGGCAGCATATATCCAACCGGAACGGAGTTGTCCAGGACGGCAAACTCCCACATGGCAGCGCTCTTCGCCTCTTCGAACTTGTTGCATCGACGGATAACATCATAAAAGGATCCCATCTCGCCTGAGCTTATAGGAGAAGCGATCCACGCGTGGATAGAGTCTGAGAACGGTGCGAGTATTGACGAGGACGCCACAGGGTTGCTTGCAGGCAACGCCAGAAATGCCATGCTGGACTGTGCTTACCGTAGATGGGCGGAGATGCTCATATATGGGCAAATATGGACAGCGAGTGACTGGCGCAAATCTCCCTGGTATCAGGCACTTCAAGCACCGAGTGGCTCGCGCCGTGCCGTGCCGTGCCGTGCCAGCGGCCGTTGATCACAGCTGACGCCGGTAGGCCAGTCAACGTCGCGACAAGATGCTGAGATGGGAGCAAACGAAAGGGGGGAAGGATACTCTGGGCAGCCCGTTGGTCGCTCGGCAGGGTCAATCCAAGGATGATAGGGGCATTGGGAGACACAGGATATCGTCCGCATATTATACTCGGGTCTGAATCACATACATCACATCATATCCAAGGATAGACGCCTGAATATATGTGACACATCATTGATGATTACGGAGCTTAGACCCGACTGTGTGTTACCATGCAGGAACAGAGTTTAGCTTACTTCCGATGAAGGAGGACTCGGCAAGGTGCAGCGGCCAAGGGCACCGCACGTTTTCGTGACAATAGGAGTTCTACCGGCGCTCTGGGATTAGTAGATCCTCTTGGCCGGGGGGCCAACGCGCTGCAGCTTTCCGGACATTGCTGATAAGGGCAACTGCCATGGCGCAAGAGTCCAGGTATGGAGCTGCGAGACGCCATATCATGACCGCTTCCCGTCTCTCAACCACATCTATCCCCCGTGGCAATGTTTGCATCGTGCGTCTCCGCTGTGGGTAGCATATGCAGCTACCAGTCGACTGCTGTGTAGTGAGCCAGAGGCCAGTCAGAAATAGGAAGACGGATGCCGAAGAGGCGATATCATTCATTGCCCAAGAGGGGGCTGCCGCCAGCAAACCCGACGGTATGGCTTGCCGCTTGAGGTTTTGCGCCCGAGTAACCATGCCATGAGACATGACCTCAGCCCAAGAGGTCGGAACTCACTCGCAATGTTTGCGTGAGAAACGCCAGGGTCGGTCGGTCAAACGAGAACGTCACATTGACCAGCAGTAGGGTGGCAGCCCGGTGGTGTCAGTATCCCGTAGCTTCGAGGCAAGTGAGCCAGAGCCAGAGCTAGCCCCCGGGATTCGGGAATCTCAGAGACGGCAAACCACAGGGCAAGGAGTCTGCATGTAATCCCAGCAAAGGCAAATGAAACCAACGCAAGATGTCAAATAGCAGCCTATGGCATCGTCCTAGGCCCTCACCGAGGTGGAACTCGTGTTGGCTTCCCCCACACCGATCAACTTTGGTGCGTTTTTATGCATGTGCCTGCACAGGGGGGCGGAGACGACAAGCTTCTCTGGACGCCTTCTCGATGGGCATGGCCATGGCTGGACCAGCCGAGATGGCCTCGCCTCATGTTTCTCGTCCAGCTTTTTAGGGGTCTTCCGCCGTTAGCGAGCGGTGGCAGCGTGTGTCTGTGACTGTGAAGCGGATGCGGATGCCGACCCTGCGACGTCGGATCCCTTCAACGGGCTCGCACAAGCACAGTCCCGTACGGACCAGCCTTTTGCACTCGGTGGCTGCGAGATCCAATGTGCAAAGTCCGGGCTGGGCTCTGCGAGATGCAAGAGGTGGAATTGGACAAGGGCGGATTCTCGCTGTCCTTTCCCCTTTTCGCTTCAACTTGGCAGTAAGCGATAAGATAGGTACAGCTTCCAGCTGCTATAGTAGGGCTGCCGCCTCTGTTAGTACCTTAGTACTAGACCTACCTTACAGGTATGTACTATAGGCAAGGTACAAGTACGTCCAGCGGGAAGACGAATTGCCTGTACCAGCTCAAGATGCTGGTTGGGTCGATATGTACATGTGCCTTGAATGTTCTTCTGGGTTCTAGTTGATCCTTGTGGCTGGTGGCTTTAATCAATCCATGCAATGGTTGTGCTTCCAAGTGAGGGAGCATGTACTTCAGGTGATACTACCGAAAACATAAAGCCAATAATCGTGCCTCTCTACTATATGGCCTGAATACAAAATCAGCCCAAGTATAACTCCAGGACCCAAACATTTGAATCCATATTTTTTGTTCATCTTCCAATTGTTTCTTATTCCCAGCAGCACGACGCGCTGAATCTTGCGGTGGCAGCACCCGTGCTGATGCATATGATGATTGGAACCACCTCAGCTTCAGGCGGGAGGCTGAAAAAGCGCCGTGGTCACCAAAGGGCTCATGCAGCTAGAGGAATGCCTAAACGCAAGACAGGGGGCAGACGGGATATTACATGACAAACATGATTCGGGCTTGCATGAGTGCCCTCAGAGGACGAAAAAGTGATGGACACTTGCCTGTTTGGTTCTGATTCAAAGGCACACACGCATGTGACATTTCATTGCTTCATACCAGTTATACACACACACGCACCTCTGCGGGATGTTGACGGTTAGTCGAATGGATGCTCAATTACACCATCCATCATCCTCACCGGTTGCAGATTGATGTTTCCCAACAACCCAACCTTGCCATCTTAGGTAGCAACTTGAGCTTCGGGCCACATCCATGTCGTAAACACCCAATACGAAGAGGCATATAGACGAACCGGTCTGCAATCTGGTGGCCAGTCCGGCGCCGCTAGGGATCCTTGGATGTGCTGGTTGGACAAACAAAGTCTCCAACATTATGATTGATGCGGTCACAGTGCAGATTCACACCCCGCGCCCAGCTGTCTCAGTCGTCGGTCCGTCGTGAGATGTCTTCAATGCATGCAATGTTGATTACAATAAGCCCGACGGCGCATCACGGCTCAAGGACCATCTCCGTATCATAGACTGAAGCTTTCTCCTCATCAGCTAGTTGATTTAAAAAAACAGAATAGAGTCACACGATGAGGAAATGGTCCATGATTGACGACAGATCTAGAGCCCAACTAATCTGTACAAGGTGTAATGACGGTTACTATATCCAAAAGTGCAGCTCCAGGGTACGGCCACCATCTTATATCACTGTACATGTGCTGTAGATTTTGGGCGTGAAGAGGGAGCTTGTCCATGGCGGGGAATTGCTGCTCCCCTCTCATTGGCCCAAACTGCATTATGTCATCCGCAACCCACATCTGGCGACGACTTCACTTGGTCAATCTCAACGCCCGTTTTACCTCTGCGACGACCATCTCCAATTGACGACCACCAGCGCCGCCAGAATGTTCGCCGCACGATCAAGGGCAGTCTGCGCCGCCCGCCAGCTGCAGCGGACGACCCGAACCTACGCCTCCGAGTCCCACGGTCACCACTCGCCCGCCCCGGTCAACGAGTCCTTTGGGGTCAGCAATACATGCTCGGCATGGAAACGAAGACGCAAAAAAGGCTGACTCAAGCTTCTATAGGCCGGATCCGTCATTGCCCTGGGCGCTTTCCTGGGCACCGTCCTCGTCTACCAGTTCCGCCCCCAGGAGAGCGACAACTGGACGCCCTCCAGCCTGCTCAACAAGTACCGATCAAAGGCCGAAGACTGGGAGGCCGTCAACTCTCTGCACACAAAGGCCATGGAGCAGGCCGGCTTTGACAGAAATCTGTTCGAGAACGGCTCCAACAAGCACCGATTTGTCGACGTCGCATACCCCGAGTACGTTGCCTTTTCACATTCGGGCAGCGAGGTATTTCGCTTTTGGCTAACCAACTCCAACACAGAGCTCTCCAGTCCCACGCCGCGCGAAACATCCAGGCCGGCCACCTCGCCAACATTGACCATGCTGTGGAACACTACCGACAGCAGCACCTGAAGATGGAGGAGAAGAAGGCGGCCAAGCTGGCGGCCGCCAAGGCAGAGTAGTTGCAGTGCTACAGTATATCCGAATTTATAGAACAAATTTTGCAACACATTGGCGCCAGTTTGATGCGTGATATTGATTCTAGTTGCCGGCCGTACCTTTACGTCGAGGTAGCTCAATGCGCGGGTGCTCCAGAATTAGGGACCACTGCTGCTACTTATAACTCTTCTTGTTTGGTGAAGCCACTGAGAAGCAAGGCATCTAACAACTCCCAAATACTACTAAAATACCTGAGAGTATCAAAGCAGATGAGCGATAGAAATGCCCATCCGTGGGTGCATATCGTTTTCCTACATATAGCTACTAATTGACCTAGATCATCTATATCAGGTACTCATCTTCTCAAAGCCGCTGCAGTGCTGGCTTTGATATCTCTCAAGATCAGTATCACGTGCGCCTCTTCCAGCTCTTCCTTAAGAGCAGCCTTTGGAGCGAAGTTTCCTTCTTTCTCTCTCATAAACCTAAAAGACATGGCCATGATCCCACACAATTTCCACCAGACGACTTTCCCTCAATGTACTCTTCAGTCATGCATCAGTCACGGCCGACAGGCTCGCTCGCCTCGTGTAGGCAGGACGAACCTCGCCGATTGGAAAGAAAGACAGTCCCAAGAGTTTTGCGGATGAATCAGCGTGTCTTCTTTTCCTTCTTCTTCTTCTTCCTCTTCTTCCTCTTCTTCTCATATCTCACACAGACAGCTGCAACATTACATTCTTTCGTCAGAGACATTCTTTCAGCATAGTATTCACATTTTATGCAGTATATTCTCTGCCTTCGTTTTCACCTAATATTTTACTCTCTGTGTTCAATATCGGTCGTTTACGCTGTCAGCTATCCATTCCACACCCAATCATGAATCGTCCAGAGGGCGGCATATCCTTTGATGCCCTGGAGAACCCCGAATCACGGTTGAGGACAGGTCCAATCACTTCTACTTCTTCCAATATACATGGGCAGAACAACATGAAAAATTGGGGGGTGCGAATCGTTCACGAGGCTCCCCCAGAGGGTAGCGAACCCCCCAACTCGGCGACCGGAACGATGCCAAAAGATGACGTTTATCTCCCATACATGTCCAATTCACTTGCCCTCAAAATCAAGCCCACGGGGTCTTCGCGTGGAGATGGCGTTTTTACTATACGTCACTTTCCGGCAGGCCACAGAATCATATATAAGGGACCAGTATTCACCTGTGTTCATCCAACGCGGAGAGATGCGACCTCGTGGAAGATGGCAGTCATTCAGCGTTGGCGTCTCAACTCGGTGAGGGAGCAAACACGGATCAAGTCCCATTTCCCCAAGATTAGATATATGCCATCGGGCACGCTAGAGCCCACGGCACTTGAGGCCATGGATTTTCTCTGCTTTATCTTGGAGTACGCTTTTAGCAATCCCGGGTGCAGCAGGGCCAACATCTACCGCCTTGCGTCCCACATCAACCACGCGTGCAGAAAGTGCGCCAATGCCGAGATATCGATCGGACCAGGGACGCCGAACCTCATCACCGTCAGACTTGTCAGGAAGGTGAAGAAGGGCCAGGAAATATTCATCAACTATGACAGACCTTCGGGCAATGCGTATGGTTGCGCCGTCTGCGGCATCCGGGATGGGGAGACTTCTCGCCTTAAACAATTCTGGCACGGCATGGTTCGCCTGGCTCGCGGAGTTCCATCAAATCAGGGTGAGCGGGAGCATACTTTGGCTCAGCCTTCTCCTCCACTGAGCGCGGGAACCTCAGCACCTGTTGTGGCTTCAGCGACCACCGAAGCCCCAGTAGCTGTTAATGTCACGGCAGACGTCGTGGGTTCAGCAACGGCTGAAGCCCCATCAGGCGCTGTTTCCGACTCACAAAGCATCACGGGGTCAGCGACCGGCGAAGCCTCAGCAGATGCTGATGGTACAAAGGATGCCAAGGCTCCAGCAGACACGGTAGCAACGGTAGTACCGGTAGGGGACGCCGACTCACACGAGACTTTTCGGCAGAGGGTTTCGGCCCGATGGGCCTCGTTCCGCGCGAGGATGAAATGACCGGGGACAAACATCAATGGAGGAGTTATTTGCAAAAGCGCATCTTGTTCGAAGCGACGCTGGAAATGGTTTTTTTTTTTGGTCATGTATCAGCAGCATCTACTCCGTATGATGACTTTTTTGAAAGCGTGAACAATGTTTCTCATTGTACTATCATAGAAATCATTGCCATCAACAACTTCAGTAGCGGCTTTTCTCCGTCTACTAAAACCAGTCCTTTTCGCCCAAAAATGTCCGTGAATGCAGAAACCACCCAAGACCACAACCTTCTTATTTGAGGGGAATGAAACGAGAAGAGTGAGTGGCACCGATACCAGGTCGACCGTGCTTGACAGGCTTGCTGTGGGGGGCGTCAGTGAAAACAAACATTAACGAGGCAGATGCGCCAAACGATTTGCGGCGCAAGGATTCGGCGGCGACGTACTATGAGATGGAGAATTCACCCAGGTAGTGGCCAACCATTTCAGGCTTGATCTCGACCTGGTTGAACTCCTTGCCGGAGTAGATACCAATGACGCTTCCAATCATCTCGGGGACGACAATCATGTCTCGGAGGTGGGTCTTGACGAGGTCGGGCTTCTCGTTGGGCTTGGCCTCCTGCTTGGCCTTTCGGAGCTTCTTGATGAGGCCCATGGGGCGGCGCTTCAGGCCGCGGTTGATCCTTCTGCGGGCACGGGCGTGGACGACATCTCGGAGCTGGTCGGAAGAGAGGTCGAGGAGGCTGTTGGGTTTTGTGCATGTCAGCGTCATTGATCTTTTTTCCAGCTTTTATCTCTTCGCTTCCCACACAAAAAGCCGAATTGATATTTTCGTCGTCATGTTGGATGAAGGATGGATAGAAACGAAACGTACTTGTCAAGGTCGATTCCTCGGTAAGAGAACTTGCGGAAGGTTCTTCTCTTCTTGATCTCAGCGGCCTCCTCGGCGTTCTATAATACCAGATGGGAAAAAACGTCAGCGCTCGTGTTCCATGCCGTAAAAGAATATGTCCCTCCAAAAAATCAATTGTGTTGTGTCGCAATAGCCGAGTGCATCGTTCTCTTTTTCTTCGACCCTCCAATTTTTTGGGTCTTCTCTTTCCCATCCCACCGGGTGATTTCCTAAGCCTGAAGACGAGGAGAGGAGCAGAACAAACGTACGTATTCGTCAGCCATGATCGCGGTTGTGTGTTGATTCAAGGATTCGCCTATCGACGCGCAGGGTATCGACGAGCGAATATGATGACCGTGATGGAGTCGTTTGGGAAGGGCGGGAGGGTTGGGCGGAATGCGGCACTACTAATTTCTGGCAGTAGGGTTTTCGTGCCCTTTGATCTCCACGTCAGGTGACTTTGGCGACGAGCGAAAGTTTTTGGTGGGCTTGGTGGCCAGTTTTTCTTTTTTTTGGTGTGGCGCTACAAATTACTACAGTATCTTGGTGTGGCTGGTGTGGGTTCTGAAACTGTGGCGGACAGCATCTGAACTGGAAGATTGAATTTCCGGATCGGCTTTCCGTTTTTCTTTTCCAGACCCGATACATACTAACGCCCGTTTCTGTTTGGGTGGCCCTCCGTATTGCGGAGCCGGGAAGAGAGAGCTGAGAGCGGGCATATTGTCGCACCGCCTTCGTACTATATGTACAAGTATGCGATGGTTCGCTACCCGCCGTGTAACTGAATATCTGCTTAGAAGCTTCGACGGCTTCTCATGTGCTCGGGGGGCTGGGCAAAGGGATGCCCGCCATGGCTGCACCGGTATAGGCACCTGTTGGCGGAGTTGCGTGTTACGAGTTCCACCACAACACAATGGCGACGACAAAAACCACGGTGCGAAATGCAGCCCGAGCCTCGGGCCAAGGCGTTTCTCGTGTTCGCATGAAAAGCCACATCGTCTCGGAGTGCTGTACACGCGGCCAAGGACACACGGATCTTGTTCTTGGTACCGGTCACCGATGATGGTCGTAGTGGGAGGACCTGAGGAGAGCTGGGTGGGTCGTCGTTGAGATGCTACATCACCTATGGTACCGAGCACTGCTGTACTGTACGAGCATGTACGAGTACTCCATACTAAGGCTACGAGTACTCGTACATGATGCCAAGATGGGCAGCATCCTTGAGACAGCATGTTTGTTCTTTGTAGTCCCATCACCTCTCCTCAGCCCAAGCGCTAATCGCTTGCTACTACTTAGTAAGGTATGTAGTATGTACCAACTACTAGCAACCTTAGTAGCATTGGGAATTAGCCCGCCAAGAGAATTTGGCAGCATCCTCCAAGCAAGCTAAACCGCCCCCCTGGCTGCGTCTGCATCACTTGATATGCCCTCCCTCGGCATCTTTCCATCTGTTCCCCAACGGGCTGCTACTGGACGGTCGGTCACTGTTTTGGGGCTGTTTGGTTGGTTGGTTTACCTTATTCGTCTCTTCTTTTTTTCTTCCCTTTTTTTCCCTTTTTTTTCTTCGTTGGAAACCCCCCCCACTCATAACGCCGTTGCGGGTGCTTCTCATCACGTCTGTGTCTTCATTTCTCACATCCACAACTAACTGCCGCTTTTTCTCTTGGCACTGATACCATCGACGCGGCCGACAATGACCGCTCTTTTTCCCTTGCTCGGCGTTTCCTCGTCTGCTTCTTTTGCCCTTTTCTTTTTCCGTCTTCTTCTTCTTCTTCTTTTTTTTTTCTTTTTCTTTAACCACTCTGAACCGAGGCTAGACACAAAAACTAGTTGCCAGGTTCCAGAACTCTCTCTTTTGCCCAGATGCGTTTTGCGGCCAATTCTTGCAAGTGAAAAGTAAGCAACGCCGAGACCTGCACCGCTGGATGGCGGTCGGCTTGGCAAAGTCTCGGCACCAGTTTCGCCAACGCCCATTACGAAGTCTGTTTGTCAACCTGGTACCTTGGGCATTTTCTCTCTCCCCATGACCCCCAGAAAACGGGGGGTGTGGGAAGGACAAGAGTTCTGCTGCAGAGCCGTCGCCAATGGTGATGGAGGCTTGCGAGCGTCCCTGCAAGAGCCAGAGCCGCAAGCAAAGCTGAGGACTGAGACGACCGCTAGCTGTCTAGCTGTCTTGGACTCGCTTTGTCCTTGTCCTTGTCTCCATCTGCCGGAACCTACCCGTCTCTTGGCAGCCTCATGATCAAAAAGCTTCGCGTCGCTTTGTCAAACCATCTCCGTCTCTATCCTCCAGGCCCATAGCCGTTCAAGGTTTCCCGTCTCTTCCTCATCCGCCCCTGCAGCACTGCGTCGCCCTTGTCCGCTTTGCCGTGTCGATTCAGAGACTCCCTCGTCCTGTCTTGGTTCCTCGCCGCGCCCTTTTTGCCCTCTGCTCTCGCCAACCAAGCTTTCAACGCCCTCGATAAGGATACGGGATTTCCCAATCGTGCATGCGCAGGTCCGGGGATATCGACGCTCGACGACCAATTACCACTCCGTCCGCGGTGGGTGCTGACTTTGCAAGTCTGCTCTGTCGATCGCACCACCCTCCCTTATCCCATCACGGGTGGAGCATCCGAGTACGAGTATAGGTAGTGTCTTGTTGGGCACCATGTCTCTCACGGCGCCAGCTTCATCTTCATTCACGTCCAGTTCCATCGTTCCGGGTTCTGCGCCGACGGCACTGCCACCAACAACTTCGGCTTCCATCACGGGGAGCGGTGGCAATGGCGCCTCCTATATCACAGCCAACCCTTACCCGCCCTTGACAACGCATTGGAACCGGCCGATGAGCTGCACGTGGACGTACGTGTATGACAGCGACCTGCCGGCGGGGGTCTCAGAACCCATTGCGTATCTGGACTTGGAACCTCTTCCGGGCGCTTCTACTCTGTCCTGCTACCCAGATGGCATGTTCTACGATGGACGCACCGGCGTGTTCAGCCCTGCGACGTGCCCCTACGGATGGACGACTGTGTCTCTTGCGGTAAACACTGACCAGGATGAGGATGAGGCAACTACCACAGCATTGTGCTGTTCATCGTACGTTGAGCGAGGTTTTGATTCTGCAGCTTTTGGTGCTAAACTTTTTTCCCGCAGCGAATACTCTTATGCCGGCGGGCATTGCAAGCGCCAGGTTCCCACGGTTCTGGCAGTCCCCATCATATACAACCGCACAGCCGCCACATACGATGTGTTGACCAACTCAACCACCACGCTCTACAGCGCCACCATTGCGGTCAACACCATTCGTGCACTCTTTAGAGAGCAAGATAAGCCGCTCCTCGGCTTGACAAACGAGGACGACATCGACGATGAGCGGGAAGACGACCGCGGACTATCGATGAGCGCCAAGATTGGGATCGGGGTTGGCGTGACACTGTTCGGCTTGTTCAGCATCGGAGCGGCTATTTTAATCTATCTATGGAGGCGAGACCGAAGAAAAAAGGGTCACCCAAGCGGCACGTCGCACGAGCTCGGCGTTGTACAGAGGACACAGGGGCAAATGTACACCAACTCGCCACGGGGCTCGCATCGACGAGCTCGTGAACGCAGTGCCGAGCCGCCTCCCGCATACGACTTTACCACCGAAACCAACAGCGTCGCAGATAACGACGGCGAGGACGCGACCGTGGCCCGGGATGGCCAAATCCAGGTTCTGATGGCGCAGAAGGCCGCCATTCAGCGACGCATCGACGAGCTGGAAAGGGCCTCTGGAGATGAAGGCAGGGATGAGCCTCGTGAGGGGTAAACCCAATGTTTTGTTTCTTTGTTTCACCCTTTTTGGGGGGGGGAGTTTAACAATCATTTAATCGTGTTTGGGTCTCTTCCAGAAGGACTACTTATGATACCACATTTGCGAGCAGGAAAAAAAAAGCGCGAGTCAACTAGTCGACTTTGTACGTTCTGATTGTATTTACGAGGCGATATGATGGAGATGGAAGGGAATAGCGTGATATTGCCTCTTGCAGTTGTGCATGGATTTGAGCCTGGGTAGTAAGTAGTAGATTAGAGAAAGGGGCTACAAAAGAGTGGGAGAAGATGGATGGAGTTTAGGGGTTAAGGCTAGGCAGCATTCAAGGCGCTTGAACAGTCAGTCAGTATCTACCTATGTAATAATGACTCGTCGCAAAGATGAGTGTGTGTATGTACCATGTTGTCTGTCATCAAGGTTCAACTATTACCCGCAGCAACACAAAGGCACTCATCCATCTATGCACAAACATCACAACTACAACTGCTAAGAAACGAGATGCCATTGATGCAAACTAGCGCCTCTAGCATTTGCCCCCAATACGGGGCCCACGGATGATCTGACTAACCATGCATCAATGCCTGGAACATCCATGCTCCTCGTGCTTGTAGGCACCCAGCATCCGACTTTAGCGGTTCCATCTGTTCGGGACTGTCAGACAAGGGTCAGGTAAGGTAGGTAGTGCTCGCGTGTGATTTGATTTTCCAGCTCGGGTTTATAATCCAACGCCAATCCATCCAAGGCTCGTGTCGGCAATCCGGCAACAAAACAACCAACAGCCCGGCCGATGGATAATCAACTCGGAAACCTCATGTAAACAAAGCCGCGGTGAGTAATGGCCTCGGAAGAGGAAAAACAAAAAGAAAAGGAAAAAAGACCCACCGAATCCCGACTCTTTGCATCTGAAATTGTAGTTACCTAGAGTTAGGCAGTCACAAAACGGCCCGCGAGAATGTCGATGCCTACGCTCGCCGTTATGGATCGGAACGGGGTGTTTTCCAGCAATTTCTGCAGCAATAAGCTCATCTCCTGCTATCCGAGACAAAATTGTCAGCAACGCCTCCCCAGCCCCGGTTTCTGTCTTTCTTTTTGGGTGGTGGATGAGCTCAACTTTGTTTAGGGGGGGCCGCCACTTACACCCTGTTTCTCGCCGCTTTGGGCCATGGGACGAGATTCTAACATGCAGCCCACGAGCTTCTCTGCTTTTTCTGCCCAGCTTGCGCTATTTTAGCGGGTTGTTTGTTATCCGTCGCGGAACAGGCTGGACCTCGTCTGCCAGCGCCAAACGGCTGTGCATGCAGGTACCTCTCGTCAGGCCCGGCATAAGCGGTCCCTGGCAGCTGGTGATGATCCAGAACCAAGAAACGTCCCCCCCGCTAAGAGAAAATCCCACATACCAGAAATACTGTATAAAACCTCCACTGGCAAGCCATCGCCAGATCCTTTCTGCCCAGGCCGAATTCCCTCTTTGCCTGATATTTGTCTACCTATATTTGGATACCCTTTGTTTTGCAGCTTTTTTCTTCTACCGAGTGTTAGTTGTCGAAACATCTTTTATCCAAAAATGAGGGGCGAGGTCAGTTCTATGGTTGCGTGCGCGAATGTTTTTTTCTCTGCTTTTTTTTTTCTTCTCCAAGTTATGATATCATCCCACTTTTTCGTTAGATTTGCGCTCGCGATGCGTCACTTGCGCTCAACCACGCCATGCGATTTCCCCAGCAAACAACATCGCTAACACGATACGCATATAGATTATCCATCTTCACGTCGGCCAGGCCGGTGTCCAGCTCGGCAACGCAGCTTGGGAGCTGTTCGTGAGCCCTTCCATCTGCTGCGCGAAGATTCATAAGCGCATCTGATTCGTGATGCTAATCTTCTTTTTTTGTCGTCGCATAGCTACTGTCTTGAGCACGGCCTCGGCCATGATGGTCGCGTAGACCCCAACGCCAAGGATATCGATGATCCGGGCTCCTACGATACCTTCTTCACCGAAACCAGCGGCGGCAAGCATGTGCCTCGGTCCCTCTTTGTCGACCTGGATCCTTCTCCCATCGACGAGATTCGCACGGGCGACTATCGCCAGCTGTTCCACCCGGAGATGCTGATCAGCGGAAAGGAGGATGCGGCGAACAACTATGCCCGCGGTCACTATACCGTCGGAAAGGAGATGATTGACACTGTCATGGATAGGATCCGTCGTGTTACTGGTGAGTGTTGATGAGGCGGCTTGTTTCAACATGGAGGGCTGACGAATGCAATGTTGCAGACAACTGTCACTCACTCCAGGGCTTCCTCGTCTTCCACTCGTTTGGAGGCGGCACTGGATCCGGCTTTGGTGCCCTGATGCTCGAGCGCCTCGCTGCCGAGTATGGAAAGAAGACCAAGCTCGAGTTTGCCGTTTACCCTGCTCCTCAGACATCCTCTTCCGTCGTCGAACCTTACAACGCAGTCCTGTCCACCCATAGCACCATCGAGAACTCCGACTGCACCTTTCTAGTGGACAACGAGGCAGTCTATGACATTTGCCGGAGAAACCTCGACATCTCTCGTCCTTCGTTTGACCACCTTAACCGCCTCATTGCCCAAGTTGTCAGCTCCATTACTTCGTCTGTGCGATTTGATGGCGCCCTTAATGTCGACTTGAACGAGTTCCAGACCAACCTTGTTCCTTTCCCACGCATCCACTACCCCCTGATTAGCTACGCCCCTGTTGTTTCCGCGAAGAAGAGCTCTCACGAGAGCTTCAAGATTCAGGAGCTGACCTTCCAGTGTAAGTCACCCCTGTTGCTCCCCCCAGTATGAAACCGAGGTATTGATGTATGTTCAGGTTTCGAGCCCAACAACCAGATGGTCGTCTGCAACCCCCAGAATGGCAAATACATGGCCGTTGCTCTGCTGTACCGTGGTGACGTCGTGACGCGTGACTGTACCGTTGCAGTCGCCGCCATCAAGGCAAAGTCCACTTTCCACATGGTCGACTGGTGCCCCACAGGCTTCAAGGTCGGAATCACCTACCAGAAGCCCATGAGCGTTCCCGTCTCCGCTTCGGAGGGCGGCCTTGCTCCCGTCAAGCGTTCCGTTTCCATGCTCTCCAACACCACCGCCATCGCCGAGGCCTGGTCACGACTGGATTACAACTTCGACCTGATGCATAACAAGCGTGCCTTTGTACACTGGTACGTCGGTGAGGGCATGGAAGAGGGCGAGTTTTCTGAGGCACGAGAGGACCTCGCTGCTCTGGAGAGGGACTACGAAGAGGTTGCTACCGACTCCTTTGACGGCGATACCGCCATGGAATACTAGATGCGGTTCATTTGATGAACCGGACATGATAAGCCTACGAACCGCTTGGACAATGACTGAACGAACGGAGAGATTGCTTTGCTATTTTCATGGAGGTTTTTGGGCTTGAGAAGAGAAGAAGAAAAATTGGTCGTGTTGGAGTCTGATTAGATGAGACCGCCCCCCATCATTCCCCTCTTTTGCTTCTGCTTTCTGTTTCTTTTGTCTTTGCTTTTTTTTTTTCTTTTGCTGGAAATGTACGTTTGGGAGCAAGCATGCGAGAGAGAAAAAAGATACCTCTAATCACACCAAAAGTTTTCTTTCGTTGTACATAATGATATTCAACAAATTTTTGTAAAGGAGGAGGCCTGGGAGTGGCTATATAGGGATGGGACACCTTAGTAGTTTAGTCATCTTGGTATTTTGAAGAAAAATCGATGAATGGAGGAGAGAAACTCGTGTGCCGTGTGCGTGTCTACAACGGATTCAAGATCCATGCTGCTTGCTGCCTCCGTACCTTGGCAGATACATGCATGTACGAGTTATGCTGACAACTCAGGTTTTGTCATTGGATGCAGGGCTTCGTTTGAATGACGTGGCATCGGTTTGACAAGGTGGCGATACAGGGCCAATGTGTATTTCTTACAGGTTGGATGCTAATATTAAGTCTTTGAGGCGGTATTCAGCGTTCATCATGCACAGACTCGAGTACCTTGGTAGACATATAAATCCACTGCAGGTAATAGATGTACTCTTCAGAGCATTCACATGTTGCACTCGGCGAGGTACCCTGTAACCCTTTTTACATGTATCTTCTTTCACTTCTACCAAACGCCAATGATTTTTCTCCTCTTTCTCTGCCCTGCAGTTGGCGGCAATGACATCCATGACTTAAAAAAAATTAGATACGTGGTACCCTCTGACAGGCAGCAGGCAGTGATTAAAAAGAGGGCTCCCAAAGGAGGGGGGAAACGCAGTCAAAAAAAAAAAACGACTTTTGATATGTACACTTTTTAAAAAAGACGGCCCGCCCGCCCTCTCATGTGATGAGTAAGCCGACTCGCCTTTCCACAGAAAACAGGCCCGTATTATACCTTACTTGGCACCTTATACCAAAGTGCTGCCTCTTACAAGGCCCAGGGCCAGCAAAGCAAAGGCAGGGAATCACTCAAACTCAACTCGCTCACTCCATCACCCCCCGTTGCTTAACCTGGAGCAGGGCGGCCACCCCCAGGATTTTCTTCTTCTTCAATTTTGCATTGTCTTGTCGATTTTCTCTTCCGGCTCGCTTCTTCGGGTGATTTTTCTCTTCTCTTCTTACTTCTTCTTCCACGCCGCAGCCCGGTTAGCGCTGCGGTTCTGCGGTCTCATTGGCCTGCCCGCCTTCTTCTTATTTTTCTTGCCCATTTTGAGGTCCTTGGGAAGCCCATCCTTGGACGACGCTCTGCGGCCCTCGAAAATGATGGCCTCGGGAGTCTTGATCCCGTCTGCCGCCTCACCGTCCCTTGCCGCCGGTGCAAACGACCTCCTACCCGGATGTCGCTGTTTTGCAGCCGCAGACCGACCCAGCAGTTTGCGGCTTCGTCCGGCGGCGGCCTGCTGCTCTGGAGTTGCCTTGGCCCTGTACTTTGTGCTGCGGCTAGCGCCATCGGCCACATCTGCCTTGGACCTGGCCCGCTCGACAGCCTGGGCCGTCTTGCGCGGATCCTTTGCTCTCGTTACACGGAGTTGACGGGGGAGCATGGGGGGAAACTTTTTCCCGTTGAGAAGAAGAGCTGCCTCTACATCATTGGCGTCCTGGAAAGCCAAGTCAGCAACAAGAAGGGAAAAAAGAGAGAGTGAGAAAGAAAAACGGGATTACAAGGCAACCGCGTGAAAAAGTAAGAGGGAATCTCGTCGCCGGGCGAGAGGGACAACTTACATAAAACTGCACGTATGCAAATCCCTTGCCCACTCTGGTCTTGGAGTCACGCACAACACGGACGTTCTCAACCTTGCCCTGGGTGCCAAAAGTGCGCCAGAGGCCTTCTTCGACATCGGAAGGCACCTTGTTGCGCTTCTTTTCAACCGTCTCGCCGTCGGCTTTCCTGTTCAAAACAGTTTCGTCGTCGACAAAGCCCAGGTTTCCGACAAAGACGCAGTTGCGGTGGTTCATTGGGCTTGGGTGTGCAACACTGTCCACTCGGATGTGACGGCCGAGGATTTCGGTTCCGTTGAGCTCTGCAACGACTTTCCGAACTGCCGCGGGAGTTGAAAAGACTGCATATGCGTTTGTGGACTTGGTGGTGGCATCCATCAAGGCTTTGGTAATGTAGGCCGCTCGTTTGGGCATCGAGCCGGTAGCAAAGGCCACCGACCGGAAGCGCAGAGACTCGACCTTTTGCGGCGGCGAGGCATCCTTGTCGAGAACCGAGGAGAGATGCTTCATCAGCTCTTTCTTGGCTGACTTGGATGAAATGGCCTCTGTGGCAACATTGCCCAAGAAAACAGTCCGAGCGGCCTTCTCAACCTCGGATTGCTTGCTCTCTTGCGTGAGGGACTCGTGCACGGGCACCTCGTCCTCGTCGTCCTCTTGGGCGCCATCCTGGGCATCCCCGTCATCTCCCTTTAGGCGCTTACCAGATGGTTCAGTCTCGTCATTGTCCGCAAGCTTGGCCAGATATTTGCCCTCAAGGTCGTCGTTGTCCTGCTTCCTCTTGCGTTTTCTGTCACGCTTCGTCTTGGCTTCCTCCAGGCCGTTGACTTTCTCTTCTGTCTCAGTCGCCTCCAATGTCACCGACATGGCATCCTCATCGTTGCCGTCTTGATCACCTTCATTCTCAGCACTGTCGTCGCCTGCTTCTTCTTCGTCATCGTCGCCATAGTCCAACTCTTCGCTGATTTCAGAGAGCACCTCATCGTCGCCCTGGTCATCGCCGTCTTCGTCGTTTGATTTGGCAGCGCTTGAGCCTTTCTTGATTTGCGGTGCTCCTAGTCGAGGTTGTGAGGGAACATTCACAGGGCCAGCCTAACAAATACGTCAATCGTTGCTCTGATCAGATCGAAAAGAAAAGAAAGAAAGAATGCTTACACTGGAGGCGAACAGAGCATCGAGCGTGGGGTCAATGGCCTTGGACGCCACGGCCAGCGCATTTTTTCTGCACCAAAAAAAATCAGCAAGATCAACCAAAACCCTCAATTGCAGAAATACTCACGATTTGGCCATTTTGCACCTGTTTCTGCAGCGAGAGGGTTCGACAAAAAAAGAGACGCTGGACAGGCGCTTCGCCAAACTGCGACGGAGCCACTGGAAGCGACAGAAAAGTTCACAGCAAGCTCTAAAAAAATTTGGGTCCCGCCGCCGGGCTTTCAGCGGAACAATGCGTCATTGGCCTCGCTGGCCCCAAAGGCCCGCAGATGACCGCGTTTCTGCCACGCCAGGATTCACCGCCCGGGCGCCGCTCCAGTGCTCCAGGGCCTGGCTCGCCTGTCGGGGCTTGTGCAGGCGGCTGGTGCAGCGCTCTGTAAGGTCACAGCCGATACCTGCTGTACTTCGTAGATGCGCGAAGCGGCACCTTGTCCTTCTTCCTCTCCCCTCCCAGCCCGTTCCGGCCTCTCTGCCACGACCCCGTCACGGAGACAAAAAGACCGTCCAGACACGGCCTGAGCTTCAGCTTGGCCAGCGGATCTGCATCACGTCGTTTTGCCCTTCGTCCGCTCGCCGGCCCCCGATCCCACCTCCCAGCGCCCGCTCAAACTCTTCGCAGCCGACCTTGTTTTGTGCTGGTGTCCGCGCCCGGTCCTCTGACCCGACTGTCGACCGACTGTCGACCGACAGAGCTGAAGCCGCCCTCGTCTCGACGGCCGATTTGCTTCAGCAGTCTGCTCAAGAGCCTCGCTCTGCGCTACCGGCAGCACAATGGCAGCGACGGCCTCGGCGTCGGCTGCTTTCCCCCCCGTGGCCACGGGCGGCGATCTCGAGGACAGCAACATCTCCAGCCCGCTCAGCGAGGTCGACGACAAAGATGCCAACGACGAAGAAATTGAGCACATGCATCTGGACAGAGACAACCGGAGCGTCGGTCCTGAAGACGCCCGTGCCACCGACCACGGCGGATCAGACTCTGACAGCGCCCTTTCCGACGCAGCGTCCGACGTTAACTCTGAGGCCAACGACACCGAAGCCGAAACCCTGAGACTCTACGACACCCCGCAGATACAGAGACACCGTGATGTCGGAATTGGGCACTTCAATGACGGAGAGGTCTTTGAGCACACTCCGAGCAAGCTCCGCCGGGCGCTAGCCAACGGCGGCGATGACTCTGCCTCAGGCGACGACAGCCGCATCGACGAGGACGACGATGAAGACGAAGACGAAGACGACATTGGTGACAACGAATCGCCGACAAAGCCCATGCCGACGGCTTTGAAGGTGGATGAAGGTGCCCGGAGCGATTCGCAAGAGAGGAAGCGGAAGCGATCTGCCGTCGCCGAACACCCGTTAGACCTAGAACAGCCGGCGAGGAAACGCACCGGATCAATCTCCGCTGCCAACGGAGATGGCGACGATCCTCCCGCAGCTGCTGAAGATGACGCGACACCGGCTGCGATCCCGGCAAGCGGACGCGGCTCCCCCGGGGACGACGATGAGGCGTCTGCCACGGCCCAAGACACACCGGCAGAGGATGAGCTTCCAGAAGTGACAAGGAAGACGAAACGCACCGGTTCTAAGCGGAAGACGGTCGTCTCGGATGATGCCGACAGCGAAGCTCGAGCTGAAGTTCGTGACGAGCAGCAAGACCCCACAATGGAGGAAGAGGCCGAGGCCGATCACCCCGAGGAAGACGAGGCAGAGCCCGAAGCTGACGAAGAGACTGACGCTGCGGCGAGAAATCTTGAAGAACGTAAGCTTCCCAAAAATCAGTCGGATATATCATACACATGCTAATTTGAGGGGGGAAACAAACTAGTAGAAAAGAAGCAAGCTGCCTATCGAGACTGGACTCAGATAGAGGAAATGTTCGGCATCTTCAGAGACAGGTAAGCCGTCCATCTTGTTCGACGACTCGACGACGCTCTGCTCACTTTTTTTTTTGCAGGCTTTACAAGGATAGGCTACAGAGGCTCGAAGAAGAGGAGCAGTCGCTTCATGCCCCAGAGCCTACACATCCTGAATACCTCAACATGAAGCAGTGCCTTGATGACCGACTCGAACAGAAGCTGCAGGCTATCAATACTGAGCACGAATACCGACTCAAGGCCCTTGAGCGGCGCGCAGTAGCACAGAAGGCCCAAATCTGGGGCCAATACTTTCAGGCCATCCGAGAGAAGCGAGAGCATGCTCTGGAGGCTCTCAACAGGCAATGGTACGATGTGCAGAGTGCTCGGCGGAGTGCGCACAGTTTGGCAGACTACGGCCTGTTGTTCCCAAAGGATCCCTCGCAGCGTGTCAGGAACGCCATTGCCTACAACACAGAGGTGTCGACTCTCGCAGGCCTCGCCAAGTACGAAGGCTTCCCAGCCGGACCGGAGCTGCAAGGAGCATCCGCATCAGAGCTGGAAGCTGACTTGGCCATGATGGAAGTGAGTCCGAAACTTTTACTACAGCTGGCCATTGCGTAAACGTTATTTCACATTTGCTGACCTGCCATCAGCAAACCCGGCGTGTGCGGCACAAGCCCTCGATAAGTCAGATCCGTGAGGAATATCAACCACCACACCTGACTCGTCTTGACCCAGCGGGAGAGCAATTTGTCAAGAACACGCCTTGGGCAAACCCGAATCACTCCTCTCATAAATTCTACCAGCACCATCCAGCTTCGGCGGAAGCTCGCCCTGAGCCTGCCATCCCCGTCCCTGCTGGTCGGACGCCACAAAATGCGCTTTCCGCCTCGAACGATCTCAAGGTAGCTCTCGATGGCCCGGGAGCAGTTCGATCGCCTGCTCTCTCCGCACGATTATCCGAATCGCCCGAAATAACGCGGAACATCCTGAACCCAGCATCTCACCAAATGAAGCAAATGGGCGGCATCTCGGGACTTGGTCGCGGGTCAAAAACGGCAGCGGCTTAGGAGGTGCCTGCTTTTCCATTTGGAAAGGTGTAGGGGGGGGGGATGCATATTGTTCAGGTAAAGGGCCCGCGTAGCTGGGCTGTGATATGAGGATTTCTGCGTTCGGACATTAATGATACCCAAGATTAGGGCTTGTTGTCGGCTCATTGTAAAAGGAAGTGCGGCCCTTTGTTTTTCATCTTCTCTCTTGTCTATGCGTGTTTTTTTTTGGTCTGAAGGGTTCAAGGATGGTTACACTGGTAATAAAGATTTGACGGCGTTTATCATGGCCAGGTTTCGGGAGGTTGACACTGGCGGCAACGGGATTGTCTTTGCATGGCAGATGGGAAGTCTTTCATTGTACAGAAATGGCGGCTTGTTTCTTCGTATTATTACTTTTTTCTACACATATTCAAGGCAAAGAATATTATTTGAACAATTGCGGCTTTAACTGATTGTGGCATGTGATGTATAAAGTAGGAGAGGCAAGCGGCTTTGAATCGACAAAGCCCATTTTCAAAGTCTAAAAAAGTAATAGTACACAGCGATGCTAGCTGACGGATTGTAATTTGCAACACCCAGACGCCCCCATCTCGTTGTCGTAAATAATGTAGTCTCCCTTCATGGATAAGTATGTATACATGTATTTATTTCGCCTTGGACGCCTGTCGAGGCGCATCCGGAACCTTGACATCCTCGAAATCGTCTTGCCCAACGGCGCTGATGGTGTACCAGTCTGTAAAGAGAAGAGAAGAGACAGCGTCAGTCATTGTGGTCGGGCGAATCGGGGATTGGATATTCCATCAGCTTACAAACGCCTCCAACGAGCGCAAAGAGCCCAAGGCCGGTCAGAGCATTCTTGAAGAGATATGGCCGTCTCGCTCGGACAAGGGCAGGGCCTTGTCGCAGGCGCCGATCGTAGTAGGTGGTATGGGATCTGGAACAAATATTCTGTTAATTGAAGTTTCGCAAAATTGAACGAGCATTTGTAGATGGGAGACGTACGCCATTGCTCGATATGGAGAGCTGTACATGTTTTCCGCAGTATGTCGCAGCAAAGCTCTTGTCCAAGGCCACAAGATGCATCGTATCATGCGCCGGATAGTGGGATGAGCCGCAGAAACGGACCTTGGCGGCGCTTCTCCGGCTAAACAGCATCCGCCGTGCATTCAAGGCAATGCTGTTAGCAGCCAGCCGCCCGAGTCGGTACCTCGAAAAAGCAGCCAGCCGGATTCTTGGCCTAGAGCCAAAAAGTTCTGACGAGTTGCTGCTGCCAGGGATCTGCCACCTTTGGGACCCGCGTCACGTTCCCGTCGCCAAAACCTTTTGGCAGAGCTTCCCGCAAGCACCAGCAAATCCGAATCCGCCCATCTGCATTGCCTTTGCGACTCACCAAAAGAAACCGGCTCGCCAAGCATCTCGACATCGACAAACGACGAGCCTCGGCAGCGCCATATCGACAGGCGCGACTTGCTGCGACTCCGAGTCACGAGCTTCAAGAACTTGTGGTGGCTGGTGTGGGAGATTGGCGCAGGGCATGACGATCGACTAGAAGAAAGAGATTGATACTATTCCAGTAGCCTAGCCTGTTTGTCGCGCGACCTCAAATGCTGCATCTGCATCTGCACTCTGCATTCTTCTCCCCTCCTCTGATGTCGTCCGCTTCGCTCGTGCCCATCGCTCGTCCCACGCATTGAGAGATAACCACCATCTATATCCATATCGATCTGCCTGCCATTGCCGCCTCGTCGACGTCATGGCCTCCTCGTCGGCCCTCTCTGTGCCAGACCAGATCCGCCAGCTCAACGATGCCCGCAAGCTCGTCCTGGGAGACGTCAAGTACTATCCGAGCGTGGTCAGAGGCATCCTGCCCATCATTGGGCCCACGGCGCCGATAGAGCTGCGGCGATGGGTCACTGATTTCCTGGCCGAGGCATTTGCCACGCCGGCGCTGCCCAATTCCGAGAAGGAGACGATGCAGCCATACGTGTTGACGACGCTGGAGTCGCTGATTGAGCAGGAGGGTGATGCACAGGTCCTGAGGAATGTGATACAGACGGCAGCGAGCATCTACCCGCTGGCCATGAGGTGGATGTCGGTGGCTTCTTTCTCTTCCCATTGTAAAAGAAAACGTATCGTTGAACTGACTTTTGCCACCATCGCAGCATCAACAACAGCTACGACACGGTGACGTGGGAGAGAATGGTGAGTATCAAGCACAAGATTTTGCAGCTGTGGGACAATGTCCCTCCCACGGTGAGGATATGCTGCATCAAGTTTGCCCAGCGAGTGGTGCTGGCGCAAAGCGTTGCCTCGGGCGCTGAACACAGGGTAAGAAATGACGGCTGTTCTTGGACCAAAAAAAAGGTAGACTTCCTTAACACATGATTTGTCTTCTAGTATGGCGGCGGACTGGATGTCTCTCTGGACAAAGTCCCGCCCAATCACCAGACGCTCGATCCTAGAACTCTCGAGGCAGAGGCAAGTGGGCTGTTGGACCGCATGTTGAGCATATTACAGGGGAACAAGTAAGTTCCAACTCAGATCCAGTACGAGGATTGGCTCCATACTCACCAAGCTTAGCGATGGTCTTCTTGTAGATGCGACTTTGAACTGCTTGTCCATCATGGTGCGGACTCGCCCTGCCACGTCCGGTCGCATCCTCAATGCATTGCTCAACTTCAACCCTCTACAAGCCGCCAACTCACCCCTGACCCCCAAGACCAAGGTGATGATCAAGTCCATGGAAAAGACGGCACGACTGCTGTTGATTCACCTGAGTAAGCGAGACCCTCACAACCCAATCGTGCCTAGAATACAGCAGCATGTGGAGGGCACAATGCGTATGGTAGCCGAGCTCTTCGACAGTGCTGGCCGGAAACGACCCCTGGAGCCCAAGCCACAAGACGGATATGATGCCAAACGCCCGCGGATCGAGGCCTCCCAGATCCAGATCCCCTCCTTGGGCCCAGGCCCCCATAGCCTGGCCGATGTCTTTACCCTTATTGGCAACGATGGACTCAAGTTCTTCGACGTCTCTCAGGTCCCCCCCAGCCTCGTAGCCAGAATTGCCGTGAATACCCTGTCTAGGTTGGACGCCCAGGTCCTCGCAAAGGCTGTAGATGGCGTTCGCGGCCGACTGGAGATGCTGAACAATAGCCCTCCGGCGGAGCTGAATCCAAACACCGCGCCTCTGGGTGTCGAGGAGGACGAGGACGACTATGAGCCAGACTTTTACCAGGCAGAGGATACGGAGCAGATTCTGAACAAGCTGGATAACGCCCCGGCGCCGGCCGTGGCCGAACCCAGAATAAGCCTGGACGACACGTTGGGGCTGAGGTCCTTCAGCCTTCCCCAGCCGCAGCAGTTGACGCCAGAGATGGCCCTCAACGCGGGCAATGGCACGGTAACAAGAGTGCTGGACATGATGAAGTCTCTAGACGAACCAGCAACGAAGAAGCAAAAGGCCGGCTTCAGCCGCCTTGCAGCGAGCTCCGAGAGCAGGGACTCTTGGATGACCATCTTGGCACGTCTCGCAACACGGTCATCGGCAGGGCTCGAGGAGATATCAGTCAAGGCCGAGGCAGACGACTCCAGCCGGCCGTCGTCCCTCAACAACGGCATCAGGGAGATTCTCTACAACTACATCATGGAAGACTTCCGAAAGCACATTGACGTCGCGGTATCATGGCTTTGCGAGGAGTGGTACAACGACAAGGTGCAGCAAAAGGCCGGGGGCGACCATCCGCTATACTACGAAAAGTGCACGCTGCGGCTCATCGACGGGTTTCTCCCGTACCTGCACCCGCAAGACAAGGTGCTGACGCGGTTTCTGAGCGAGATTCCCGAGCTGAACCGGGCGATTCTTTCTCGCGTGAAGCACATGTGTCGAGATCCGAGCGTGACGCAGTTGGCGTTGACGAGTTTGCTGTATTTGGTGATTATGCGGCCTCCCATCAAAGAGGCTGCTCTGGATACGGTTCAAGATATTTGGACAGACTGTACGTTGCTTCTCCCCCCTCCCTTTTTTTTTTTCTTCCTCCTTCCCTTTTACCACGTTTAGAGCATACGTCTACCAGGTCGGGGGCATGCAGAGCTGACTTTTGGGAACAGACGAAGATGCTAGGGCTATGGCCGGCAAATATCTTAGCAAATATCGGCCGCTGTTTATAGAAAATGCAACAAACCGCGAAAACAATGATAGCCCGACACCAGCACCAGCAGGAGCTGCCATTACCACATAAACGATGGCGATGTACCTACTTATGGAATGACTAGGGGAGGGTGCTAGATGGGATACCAACATCTTGAAAGATGACAGGGCTCGGCAGCAAGAAGCTGTGGAAGACAAAGAAAAAGTCTTGGCTCGAACTTGGGAGGGAATCGTCACAGAATGCATGGCCAGATGATGATTGGACAACATAGAGGGACTTTACTGAGTCGTATAGCGGCGTAGAATCTGCCGTATGGAATGGGGCAAGGCGCTTCGTTGACCGCCACGCGAACATGAGAAAAGATGGCGCGGATATCCGGGGTATAAGAGAGATGTGTATGTATAGGGATGGCTTACACGGAGACTGCTCAGTGTATTGGACGAAGGGGGTGAGGATAAATTTTTGCATGAGATTCACACACGACAGATGAAGAGTTTGGTGGGCAATTAAATAAATACTCAGCAGCTGGGTATTTGGACAACAACACCATTATTACCTACCTCTTACAGGAACATATTGTACCTCTCAATTACCTGCAGTATTTTTCCCTTTATTCGTCCCACAATCATGAGAACTGTTTACCGTACCTGTCTCAGATGCTATTCCTCTCTGCTGTATCCGGCTTCATGCGTCATCTACCCGAGGTTCTACTGTCACGCCGCCTGAGAAGCGAGATTTGTCCCCAATAGCTTCGTCGATGGATTGAATGGGGTACCCTGCAGCTTATTTCTCGCTAACAAAGAAGCCGTCAGTTCAAAAAACCGAAGTGACATTGGCAATGCAGGGAGAAGCAACGGCGCGGCGTTGGACGGTCAATCAATGTTACTGTGATTTACCCCGTATTTTGCATCTCCAAGGTTCGTCGTGCAGTTACATCATACGCCCATCCAATGATGAATAACGAACGTTGGCGATATTTCATTGGAGTTGCTGCGCACGTCTTCGTTGCCTGGCCAGCCCCTTCACATGCATGCATGGATGCATCCTTCTTAACGACTTGCAGACGATTACGGAGTACAATGCACCACACAATGCACGCGACACGTGAAGCCCTGCAGGCTGACCCTGTTTTCTTGCAGGCCGAGTAGAGATGAGAGAGAGACATACGGAGTAGAGGCGGCAGAGACACGACAGGCGAGAGAGAGACGGCAAAAAAACAACGAAGGATGAGGGGCTGCTGTGTTTTTGCTTTTTTTTTTCTCCAGCTTCTTTGTGATTGGTAGCGGTGGCAGCATTTGTGTTGATGCCCTTGGATGCCGTCCATTGCCGTTGGGGGCTTCCCCTTGTTTATTAGTGAGAGGCGGTATAGCTACGTGTGCAAAGTGCCAACTAACTAACGAAAGACCGCCCTTTTGTTGCATGGCATGACGTGAATTTTTTTTAATTTGTTTTGCTCGTATCTCGTCTATTCTGTTTCTTCTCTTCTCTTCTATTTTATTTCTCTTCTCTTCTTTTATACTTGACATTTGCTGCTTCTCTTCTGATACGTGATCGTCAAACATTGCACCCCCCCAGCTCTGCTCATCTTACATCACCAATCTCATCTACCCTTGCCGCTCCCCCGGCTCATAATACAGAAGCACAGGGCACTCGAAGACAGCGGAATCGGGCTGGCGGTTTCAGCGGTGCTTGCGGCGTAAACGAAACACGGCCGTTTCCGTCATATTCATTCGTGTGAGACGTTGGATGACGGAAGAGAATCGAAGTGAAAGAAGCAAAGCAAAGCAAGGCTGCGGACAGACATGGCCCTTCGCCGCCTTCACAAGCAGTTTTTCAGCATTCACCAGGATTCGCTGCAGGGCACAAAAGGTATGAAGAGTTAGTTCACGTTGCCACTGTTATTTCCTCTTTACGGACTATTTACTCTCCCCCCTTGATCGCTATGTACACTGCACTCTGACGCCAAAAATCCTCGCCTCTCCCGGGCTCCGGTTTTCCATGTAATGAGCGCGTTGCACGCATCGCATTGCTGCTCATTTACGCGAAAACGAGCTCCACCTCTTAATTACACATGACACTTTGTACCTTATTTTGGACACACGACTGCTTACTACGCCTATTCCGTACCTGGCTCGTACTGCACTGTGCTGTACCTGTACACTTGCACTGCACTGCCCTGCACAAACCACAAACCACATCCATCACCAAACAAACATCCCCCCGATTCATCTCTGCTATCTGGACCGGATCGAGTGATTGATTGATTGACTGACCGCCGATGCGAATCACCCCTCGCAGCCTCCAATCCCGCGCGCCCCTCGCTAGATGATTCACCGGGCACCAGAACCTTAACACCAGCTTCTGCCGGCACCGTCAACGCCATGCCGAGTCGCGCCGCCTCCGTTTCCAAGCAGGCTCAGGTCCTGGGCAGGACGGCCACGATCCGCAGCGTGCCCAGTTTCGAGGGATCCGAGACGAGCCCCGAGAGCAACGGGCTGTCCAGCAGCGTCACCAGCAGGGCTAGCGGACTGTCCACCGTGGCGTCCAACGGGACCATCGAGGAGGCGCCATCCCCGAAACCCAATCTCGACACCACCGTCCCTGAGGTGCCTGAGCCTGAGGCCCCCATCGAAGTCGTCGGTCCCATACCAAGAGTCATAACTCCAGCACCGCCAGAAGAGAACGGCGGCTTGGGAGACGGAGATCTCGACAACCAGGACAGCGCGCAATGGGATTCGACAATTGGCAAGGCCGGTCTGGGGAAGACGGGTCGAGTCATCAACAAGCTCGTCAGCGACAATGACGCCCTGAAGCGCGAGATCAAGATTGAGAAGCTGCGCGCGGAAGAGGCCAAGCAGGCGGCCAAGCTGGTCGAGGACAAGATGGAGCGCATGGTCAGCGACTACGAAAGCCGACTGCTGGAAGCAAACGTCACCAAGACGCTGCTGGCGAGAAAAGAACGCCAGGTCGAAACCCTCATGGCTACGGTCGACATGGAGAAGAAAAAGGCCGTGGTGGCTCAAGAGCTGGAGCGCAACTGGAGGGACGAAATGGAAAAAGCCAAGCGCGACGCCAAAACGCAGGCCGACGACGCAACAAGCTACGCGCAGCTGATGGAAGGCCGGTACAACGCCATCTCCTCCCATTGGCGCGACCAGGGCGACGAGGTCAACAAGGCCATTGCCACGATCAAGACCGAAATCACCACCATCGTTGACGAGCGCAAGTCGGACGACGATAAGATCCAGACACTGCGAGACTTGTGCGAGCAGCAGGACAGCAACATCCAGAAGCTGAGGCGCGAAAAGGAAGACATTGCACGCTTGTTTGAGGAGTACAAGAAGGCGCAGGAGGAGAATCTCAAGGACATCAAGGAGAACGCCAGGAAGACGGAAGCCGAGCAGAAGAGAATACTGGAAGAGTCTAGGGAGACGCTGGACAAGCTGAGATGGGCGCTAAACGTCAAGGCGAACGTCAAAGGCGCTGAGTGAAGGTGAAGGTGAAGCTGCATGATGGCATCACAGCCCTGTGCCACGCGTCGTCTCTCTGTCTCTACTGTTCTCTCCTCTTATCACGGCCATATTTTCCCTCTGGATTTTTCCTTTCCATTCAGGCGTTGGAACCACTTTGCGTTTTTATATCGAAACTGTCGGTGCATTCTTACGGGGGGACTCTATGCTCATGGCTTTCTTCTTCTTCTTTCTTCTGCTTTATGTTATTCTGCTTCCCACTTCCCACCACCCATGTGTGGCTACAGCGACTTTAAATAATGATACCACTTTCTCTCTCTCTCTCTCCTGCCTTCTCCCCTTCACCCTCTCTTTTTTTTCTTTTTGCTTATTGCTTTTATTACTTCTTCGCCTTCTCTCCCTCCATTCAACTTGTGTTTTTTCTTTCTCCCTACTACTTCTTCATTCGTTTCTGTTAATTACATAGAGAGAGCGGTCAGTTGGCTTTGGACAGGATATGATAGTCTTCTTCCCTCCCCCCGACCCTTGTTTTCTCTTCCCCTCCTCTTCTGTATTTTGCATGCTAGGAAGCCTTTGCTTTCGTGATGCACTTGGCGTTGGATGCATTTTTTTCACAAAGGACAAAGAACAAAGAAAAAGAATGAAAAGAAATCTAAAGCGGTAGAATCTCTCCACCATGCTTGCGCTATTGTCTGTTGTTTGCGTTTTTGGAACAGAGCGATACGGAGCTGGGAGAGAATAAGATTACGCTTGGCTGCGAGAGAGTTATAGTACACTGCATATATATATATATAGATAAATGATAAATAAGGAGCCATTGTGGATTAAGAGAATGCAAGATATGGAATATGAATGCATATATTAAGACTTGACTTGCGGATTTTGCTATTGTTTCTCTTGAGTCATTGCTGAGTGATTTGGTGTATTGCAGACAGTGAGTTGATGCGTCTTTGTCTTACCTGCTACACTTTTGTAGCCACCAGATGTGGCATTGAGGAAATAGGGATCAAATACCAATGAAGTATATACTTTACTACTGCTATTGAATCCAGTAATTCTACAGTGACACAATTACGCAAAATACAGCTGTGAATAAGCTGTATCAACAATCCTCGACAGAAGATGCATACACCACTTCTAGATGACACTCTCCTATTCACACTCTCTTATTTGCACACTCACATATTTCTATGCTTTTCTGAATAATAGAATTACCTGTATTATTCACTTACAGGCAACATTGAAGCTATTGAAGCTGCAGTGAATTGCTCTCGTGCAAAGCGGTCAGGAGTTCACGTGCCTGCTGCACTTTCCCTCGCAGCTGCCACCCACCTGGCAGATGCTGTGCTACGCTCTATAAAGACAACCCTAATATTCTCGGGCACTATTTATTTATTCATTTATTTATCTACCATACTCCTCCTCTTCTCTTCCTTTTTCCTCTTCTCCCCATTCCTCTTTCTCTTCTTTGCCAATCAACAAGCTCAGCCTCAGCCTCCATCAGCACATGACGAGAATGGCATAAAACCTTCGTCTTTGTATTCTCGTGTTTCCTATCCGTTGGTCCTTCTTTTGTATTCTATTTTGACCGGCTCGGTGCAAGAGCGTAGCCGGGTTTATTTGGACACTGATTTGGGTGTTGATGCTTCGGTTCCCTGCTGACCTGCCTCATTTCCAGAGGTCGCTTAGGTGCATTCTGGATTTCTTTGGAAGCTTCTATGACTTGATTTCTGCGGTAGGAACAGTTGATTGTACCTCGAGTGTGGCTTGAATGCTAGGTAAGTTGGAAATTCCCTATTGCGATTTCTTTCTAGGCACAGAGGCGCCTCCATGCCTATATACCAGCAACTCTCTGCTTTGCATGGGAATGTCTACAAGATATAAAAGCTGATCAGAAGCCACAGGCTGTTGTTACTTATATCTCAACTGTCGTTTGTGCACGTTTTGTCACAATGTTTTGCGGAGACTCCGAGTACGATGCGGCGGCACTATCCACAGCCGTGGCCTTATTGGCAGCGCCGAACCCATCACCTGGGTCTTGTGGTGTCGAAGAGTTCTACATCACCTGCAACCCTCCACTGCTCCCGCTAGGCGTCAAGCGTATTATTGAATCTGCGCAATCGGCCTGTCAGGTATGTTCTGTGGTATATTGGTTTGGTAGGAGACCCCACTAACTATTCCTTCAGGATAAACTTATCGAGATACTGTATGAGCCGGAGATTCCCTGGTTCAAATGCATCACGGTGACTGAGTATCAGACCCGAGTCTCCGATGTCATCCAGTGTCTTATCAACCAGCTCCTGAATCAAGAGGTCCGGCCACTGGAATTTAACGTAGTCGATCCTGATGTGCGTGAGGGCACATATCACCCAGACGTCGTCTCCAGGGAAACCAATGAGCCTCTCATAATCCCATGGGTCGTCTTCAAATCTATTGGAGACGACATTCATCAAGACTTCGAGGAGTACAGGTTTCCATTCATCATGGCCAAAATGCCATTCAAATCAGTGTGGAGAGGGTTACAGAGTTCTACTGGAGTCTCTATCGATACGTTGTTGTCCGTTTTCTCTCACGTTTCGAAATCCGATAACGCGCCCAACCACTTTGGAGACTTTGCATTTCACAACTCGTGTGAAATGTCATACAATCTAAGGGAGAATCTTATCTACATTGGATCCTGGCAGTCAATGGATCTGGTTGATAGGGCGGTCCGAAGGCTTCAGACGATTCTGAATCTACTGGTGCGTATTTTATTCTCTGCTCTGCTACAGCCATAGCAAACACCAAGATATCTAACGAGAGACAGTCAAGTAAACCAAAGGTATCATCGCACCTCATTCTACTCGAGGGACCCGCAGCAACCAAACTCACATACAGATGGATGTCTCATGTTGGGTTGGTCCAGGCAACCTTTGCCGTTCGGTCCGGCAGCTTGGCTATTGCGGAGGAGTACAAGTACCTCTCAAATGCGGCTACCATAAGGATCCACGCCCGAGATAGAGCTGGTCGTTGGACCACTGATAATACTGTTTATCCGCTGAAAGATACGCCCAAGCTCGAAGTGGGACAGGCATTCAATGCCTTCAAAGGTTACATTTTGCCTACCAAGAGAAAGAACGCCAAGGTTCAAATATTCCATGATTGGAAACATGCAAAGGATCAACCGATCCCGGAACCAACAGAAACAAGGGCATCCAATACCTTTCGTGGACCTGTGCACAACAGTCAAAGTGTCCCCAATCACTCGGTGGCAGACGATCACCTGAAGCCAACCTCCCCTGTATCTGTGGACAATGACTACAGAGTAGCACAGAATCAAGAGCTACACGACGACCAGAAGCTTCTTGCCTACCAACAGCCGTTATCGTCGGCTCAGCTGTCTCCAAAATTGCATGATGCGGATACATTCGTAAGATCTACGCACCGACTGGCCATTACCGAGAGCGAGTACTCCCACATATATGAGCCATCAACAACAACGGGCCCTGCATCAGGCCTAGAAGAATTGGAGAGCACAACTCAACGTCTGTTTGCGGCGTCTGACAACGGCCAAGAAGATCTTCTCATCTTTCTCAATGACTCAGACGAGGAGGTTCCGTGTGAAGATGAAAAGCTCGGCAGTGAGGTTCGAAGCACAGTTGCGGACCTTCAAGCAGTCAATGAAGACATCATCCGGCTCGAGCGATTTGAACGTTCCGATGACCTCATATGGCTAGATGATGATGAATCGCAGGCTCCGCAGGCTCATCATTCGCCTCCAAAACCAGACAGTTTGGACATTGTCTATGAGGGTTCTCCCTCTACTCACCTTCAAAGTTGCGAACCATCTGAGCTTGAGACTGAGACTGAGACCGAAACTTCTACCATTGTGACGGAAAGCAATCCCCTAGAAGCTCAAGACCACGCCCCTGTGCATTTTTATACCGGTGGCATGGCCCGATTTGGTTTGATGGATGCTCGTGAGCACAACTCGACGAATGTTCCCACCAAAGCTCAGGAGAGTGTTCAAACGGGTATTTGGACAAGTGATCTGGTCAAATTATCAGACACTCAGCAGCACGACGCTGATGATCTTGTTGACTTTGGATTAATTGAGGAAAAGCCGAAAGAGTTTTTTCAGACCATGAATCAGAGAGGCGGCCGTAGCATCATCAACTCGTCTCAAAAAGCTCGTTCTCCTAGAAGGACTGGTCTGAGTGCCCACCAGGGACCGGCCCCTAGAGATCAAAATGCGCGTTCAACTTCTATGACACCAAGGGAGCCCAGAGTTGACGCCGAAGTAAGTCCAAAAGACAAGGCAAAGCTATGAATTTACACTGACAAAAATGCTCTCTTCTAGTTCGACTCCAACTTTCCCGTGCTTGGAGCAGCACCAGAGTCACCGAAGCAGACGAAGCAGACGAAGCCACAGCTACGATATGCTGATGCTGCCAGGTATCCGAATGCCCCAGCTCAAAGGCCACCACGACTTGCCAATGCAAATGCAAGCACTAGTCGACCCCATCCGACTCCTTCAATGGAATCGGTGGCGTCGTCTTCTAAAGCGGGTGATAGTTCAAAGGAACCGAAACCCGAGGACTGCCGTGAGAACGATTGGGATGTCCCGCAAGAGAAGAGCGATGTCCTGCGAGATGCAGAGAATCAGCTTAAAAAAATGTCGCAAATCCTTGAGTTGACGTCGGGCTATGTTTCCCTGGAAGTCGTTTTTGGGCGCATATATATAAAGCAAATGGCCCCGAGCATTGTAAACCACACTGGTTCTGGCCCGGTGTTTGCAACGAAGGATGTGACTGACCTTTTGAATGGCGAGAATTTCCGACAAGACCGTATTGGCTTCTCTCCTATTCTATCGACATCGGAAGGCGATGCCAATATGTTGGTTGGCATTGTGCCACCAGGTGAAACCCCGTGGAATTTATTTGAGAAGGAGATTTGGTACGACTTCCAGTGCACCTACTTTGGCCCAAGAGGCGAAGAGTCCATCATTATTGAATTAAACGCTCAAAAGTTTCAATATCGAGTCCGGGGTCCGCGCCACGAAATATTTGCAATCCACCTTCACTGCCCCCAACGAGCTTGGGATATGAAGGCGCGCGCCGTCCGGTCGAGGGCTCTGGAGCCTGAGTATGCATTGGAATGTTACGTCAAGTCTCTAGTCGACGAGATGGACATCTTGTAAGTCAATGGAAAAAGGAGCGCGTGTGCAACAAGCTAACATTTTCTTCTGCAGGGTCGATCACAAGGGCGATGTGAAGATTCAGTATCCAGATTACAATGGTACCCGCGAACTTGAAGCCATCACCATGCGTCGAGTTGCCCGATACCGCCACGGGAAGAAGAAAGATCATAGTGTCCTCACAGTCACGATGAGCTATTCAATGGAAGAAAGCCTGTCCAGCGGTAGACGGGGTGCAGAGGCAGTTCGAGTTTTTGCCTGCCCCAAAACTTCGCTGAACAGTGCTTTGCCGCAGAAATATTTTGAGGCGAGCCTAACGTCTTCTCGTCTGCGCCGCCACTTTGATCAAAATGTCAACTTGGAGTATGGTGACAAGACTATGTGGAATACCGACCAGCTTGAGGCTGAAAACGTCTTTGAAGACATGCTCAGGCCAGCCTTTGGAATGGTTTCTCACATGGATCATATTGGATCCTCAAACGACACCATGAGAGGCGTCACTGACCAGGATGCGTTCCACGAATCATTGGTGGAAGTAGACGTGAAGAAGAAGAACAAGAAGTGGGCGTTTTGGTGAAGAAGGATCAGCTGAAGTTGTTTTGGCATTTGTCCCGGTAACATTACAGGCTTATTGCCGTAATTTGCACTTGTACGAATGACTCGTTGGGTCATTGATCTCGCGTTCGTCATTGGCCAATTCGATTGCATATAGGGGAACCAAGATATGCCGGAACAGTGATGGTTTCTCGAGGAATCGAGTAAGAGCATACGGGGTTGGACCCGAAAGAAGGTGAAGTATGCTGAGTCTCTTCGTTTTGTGCTCAGGGGTTACTCTAGGGACTAGTAGACGGGAGTTATATGGATCAATGATGATGTACAAATAGGCAAAAAGTAGGGTAATCAAGTAACTTGATGGGAGTTGACGAGATGGGGCCGTGGAGATGTGGTGAGAGTGTGAGACGTGCGTTGGGGTTGGTGAGCTGCCGAACAATGATTAGTCAGCCAACAGATATAATGGCTAAATACTTGGAGATTCAATAGTCATCATTCGTTGCATTGGTGCATGTTTATCGTAAGTATGCTTGTCTCATTTGGAATCAATTTAAAAATGATGCGAATATCTTGTCGTGCTCGCTGTGGGCGCCATTTGCTTGGTGCTTTCCATGCTCCGGCTGAACTGGGTGCTCTCACACACGCCTCAAGAAGTGGTTGATGGTGCGGGAGAGCCGCTGACGAGAGATTATGTCCGAGGTGTATTTGAGCGGGCGAAGAGGGATGGGATTTGACTGGGAGGGGAAGCTGCCGCCTCGGAAGGATTGACGATATATTGTGGTGGGAGGTTCCGGTGAGGTTGCTGGAGAAGTTCAACTTGGAAAGAAATGGCACTGATGACGATGTTGTGGGCTGTGGGGTTTCTTGGAGGGCAGATGATTTTGCATCTTTTGGCTATGGGGAGTCCGCCTGAAGCTATTCGCATCTTGGATGCACGCCGGCCGTTTACTTTTGGAGAAGAGTTCTCGCTTCGTATGCTTTGAGAGTTGCCGCTTCGTTAGTAATGTCAGTTTGAATAAAAGCCACGTTTGACGCTGGCCAGATGCAGTGGCGAGTTTGCCGTTGACAGTCTTTCACATGTCAAGAACGCATCGCTGACGCATTTGCTGTACGAAGACGCGCTGCTGGGCGATGGTGTGGACAAGGTTGCCGGACGGCCGTTTACCGTGACGGACAGAGGGAAACCAGTGCGATTTGACGATATTCATCTCCTCCTGGACACGGCGAGTACGATGGGCCTGCGCATGAGTTATCCGCCGCCGGTGCTGATGCTGGTGCTCTCGTATCTGGTGGAGTGGTACGGCCTGTTGGTGAATGCGGTGCCGTTTCTGGCTAGGTTGTTGAGTGAGACGGGAGAGGCTATTAGGTGGGCGCAGTCGGGGGTTTACGCGACGAGTTTGAATTATTCTGTGGACGATGAGGAGGCGAGGAGGAGGCCGGAGGAGGGGGGTGTTGGATGTGAGGCGAGTTGTACGACGGTGGAGGGGTTGTGTGCTCAGGTTGTGGATTGGAACGAGTGGGTTGAAGATGGGATGGAGATGGATAAAGATAGAAAGAAGAAGATGTTGTAATGGTAGTTGTAATTGAATTTATATGGTTAGCGATGATGATTTGAGTTTCATGTTGGTGTTGGTGTTGTGTAGTTGCTAGTGCTATATTGACTCGTCACATTTGCAAACAGCCTGAGATGGATCCTGTACTAGAAGCTGTACATGGATATTCTACAATGTTAACAGTGGCCATGAAGTTGAATCTATACCATCGTAAATCCATATAGTAATCACGATATTAAACATCACCATCGTATGTTGTTTTACACATCTTACATTCTGAACCTTGACAAGCCACATACGAATAAGCCGAGGCCCACTTCCATGCACACCCCTGGCGGCGCTTCTCCAGCTTTCCCCTCTCTCCACTCACGTCGATCCGATCAATCAGGTCCAGTAACCAGCAGGGCAGGGCGGACCAAAACCCGCTATAAGCCCGTGCGTTACAGGCGGGATGGAGCGCTGGAGATCAACAGCACCCCGACCCGACGGCCCAGAACCAACAGCCCACCGCCCGCCGTATTCGTGTTTTTGTCCGCCGTTATTCGTGGTCAACGTCCTTCTCCAAGCTGCACGACCCCACGACCTTTGAAATTTCCCAGACTGCACTGCACGTCTTGGGGCCAATGGTCAAGCTCTGGCCGCTTGTTGCGCCGATTCCCATCACCGCTTGCAGGTACCGGCAGTAACTCTCTCTCTCTCTCTCTCTCTCTATCTTCGTCTTCTCCCTTGCGCAAAGAGTGAAGAGCGCGCAACTGGACGTCAGTCAAGATGGCGTTTGGCATCCTCGAGCCCAGCTCGGGGGGAAAAGTTCCAGGTAAGGGGAGGGAGCCCATGATGAACGGATCTTCGAGTACCTGCAGCAAGCGTCTTGGCGCCGTCGCAAGATGTGCTCGATACTTTGATTGATACCGTCTTGTCTTGTTCTCAGCCAATGACAGACTAACAATGGCTTCCTCTTTGATGTCTAGGCACAACCCATTTCTACGATGACCCTTCGCAGCCCCAGACGGCGACGGAGCAGGACACCATCAGGCTCAAGTGCGACACCAGCGGCAAGACGCCCATCATCCTCGTGCGTCCTCCAGCCAGCCACGAGCCTCGACTTCGAGATGGAGATGAGTAGCTGCGCCAGACACTGACTCCCTTTTGCGCAACAGGTCCCCCAGCCTTCGGACGACCCCAATGATCCGCTCAACTGGCCTCTATGGAAGCGCGATCTCACCACCTTCACCCTCTGCTGGGCCGGCGTCCTCGCCACGGCCCTCGGCCCCATCCTGGCCGCAAACACCGTCACGCTCTCCCGTCTCCTCACAAAGACCTTTACCAAAGTCGCCCTCCTGACGGGCTACTTTCTTCTCGGTGCCGGCGCTGCTGCCATCTTCTTCGTCCCCTCTGCCCGCGTCTGGGGCAAGCGCCATCTCTTCCTGCTGGGAATCCTCATCATCATCGCCTCGAGTGCCTGGGCCGGGTCCACGGGGACAAACTACGGCAGCTTGCTCGGCGCTCGAGTCCTTCAGGGCGTCGGCACCGCTCCCTATGAAAGCCTGCTCAATGCCGCCGTTGGCGACATGTACTTTGTCCACCAGCGAGGAGTGCGCATGGCCTTTACCAACTTGGCAATCTTTGGAGGCGCCTTCTTCACCCCCATCTTGGTCGGGAAGATTACGGCATCGTTGGGCTGGAAGTGGAGCTTCTACTTTGTCTCCATCTTCATGGCCGCCACGCTTCCTGCAGTCTTCCTGCTCTGCCCTGAGACCGCGTATCGCAGAGACACCAAGCTTAACACGGACACCAACGCAGAGGGCGAGGAGGAGATCAAGCTCCAGTCGCGTGTCGCGACAATCAGCAATCCGCCGTCGGATGAGGAAGAACCACCAAAGCAACGTACGGGCTTCGTCCTCTTCCCCACCTCGAGAGCGCTCCAGCCCATTGGAAATGCTAGGACTCCCAAGAAGTCATTCGTCGAGTCTCTGTCCCTGTTTGATGGCGCCAAGACGGATGAACGCTACTGGGTCCTGCTTCTCCGGCCATTCCCCCTCATCCTCAACCCTGCCTTCGTCTGGGGCTGCCTCATCCAGGGAACCATGATTGGGTGGACCGTCTTCATCGGCGTTCTCGTCGCCGCCATCTTCATCGGACCGCCCTACTTCTGGGGCGAGGTGCCGGCCGGCTACGCCTACACGGGAGCCTTTGTCGGCGCCCTCTGCGGCTTTGCCATCTCGGGTCTCCTCGCCGACTCCAGCGTCAAGTATCTCACCAGGAAGAACCACGGCGTCTATGAGCCCGAGTTTCGAATCCTGCTGGTCATTCCTATGCTCATCATTGGCGGCATTGGCTTGTTTGGATTCGCCTTGACGGCCGGCAACGTCATTTCCGGCGAGTTTAGCTACATTGTGCCGCTCGTCTTCTTCGGCTTCGAGGTCGCAGGCATGGTGATTGGCGCTGTGGCAAGCTCCTTGTACATTGTCGATGCTTATAGTAAGAAGTTGCCCATTCTCATTTTTCTCTGTCAAGTCATGATAAGCTATCATGATATACCCGACGTCGGATACTAACAACCCGTACAGGAGATCTTACCATCGAAGGCTTCACCCTCATGATCATCTTCAAAAACATCTTTAGCTTCATCCTGACGTTTTTCGCCTATGACTGGCTCATCAAGGGCGGCATCAAGCACACCTTGATTGCCATTTCCATTGTCCAGGTCGTCGTATGCCTCGTCAGTATCCCCATGTGTAAGTCTCTCCATACCCTCTCTCCTACAAACCTCCCCTTAGTATTCCACAGTTTCAATTACTGATATTTGAGCCATGTAGACGTGTTTGGTAAGCGCTGCCGAGCGTTTTACCACCGCCATGATTTGCTGGCCTTGACTGGCTTGCAATGAGGAGGACATTTGTCCCCGTCGTGTTTCGTTTGCTCTAAGCGCGTGCGAGCATTGAGAGCCATCCACTGTGGTGAGATTTAATGATGTTTGCACTTCCGGGATGTTTTTTTTCTTCTCTTTTTCTTTTACGCGATTATAATGGGAGCAATGTCTGAAATGATACCAAAAGGCAATGGCGCTACGCTGATGTATGGGAAGCTTTTGCTTTTTGTTAATACTAATTAATCAAGGTGTTTCAATGGATGAAATGGTCTGGAAGAAGGACACATTAATGCGATGCTGAAAATGGTGTTCCACTTACATGTAGAGAGAGACTCACTCCTACTGATTTAAATGAAATCAAATCACCAATTACCAAGAGTAAAATGAGCGAATTTGAAAAGAATTTCCATTGTCTTCTTCTTAATTTGGGTATATGACGTTATCCAATCCATCCATTCCCTTCCTATCCATACCACGGCATACTATGTACGGCCAAAAGTTCCACTTGCGCCAAATTCATGCCTTGACGGCCGCCTCGCCAGTGGCAGCGTTTGCCTTGGCGAGAGTCGACTTCTTGACAAGGCGCAGGCCACCGAGGAGAATAACGAGGGCCTCGAGGCCGAGAATGACCCCCAAAGTGACGAGGGCGCCAATGACACCGGCGACGGGCTTGGTGATGTTGCTGTTGTCGGACGACTTGGCCTCGGGGGTGCTGGAAGCGGTCGAGTTGGCGGCGCAGCTTCCGTCGGTGTTGCCGCAAATCTGGCACCAGTCCTGAGTATCGGCAATGGCGAACTTGTCCATGCCCGTCTTGAAGTCGTTCCAGCTGAGAGTAGTCTCCGTCTGGCCGAACAGGGGGTACGCCTTGAGGCCGTTGGCGGCAGCAGTGCCGTTGGACCAGAGGAAGCGGACGGTGAGATCGTCAGCCGAGGTCTGGGTAGAGCTGGGGGCGACAACCTCGATGACCATGGAGGAGGCGTAGTTGCAGATGCCGTAGAATTGACTGTCGGCAGCGGGCAGCTGGGCGAGACCGAAGAAGGCCATGAAGGCGCCGTAGGCGCCGAACTGGATGTTGAAGCGAGGGGCCGTCTTGCCGTCAACAATGGGCTGGAGAGCGGTCATGATCTGGCCGGCGAGGACAGAGCCAGCAATGGCGCGGACGGGCTCGCTGCTGTTGTAGGCGAGGTTCCACTCGTGGGTGGAGGCCAGGTCGTAGAGGTTGCTGAGGGTAGATTTGGTAAGGAGGTTGTCCGAGGGGATGGAGGAGTTGTGGATTGTGGCGACGTTGATGTAGTCAAAGACTGAAGAGCAATTGTTAGTGGACTAGAGCGTCTTATACATTAAAACATGAAGACATACTTGAGTAGCCATTCTTAAAAGTGGCTGTAGTAGAGTTGAAGGTGGTGTTGATGACAGGCAACAGGTTCTGGTAGAAATCCTTGGTGTCGTTAAAGGTGCTCAGATACTCGGGGGTCAAGAAGTAGCTGTTTGAGCTGACAACGGCATCGCTGCAGCCGCTGCTGCCCTGGAGCCAGGCACTTGACTCGGAATTGGACGAGCTGGCCCCGGAGCTGATGGTGTTGACGGGGATATACTGGTATCCGCCCAAAGGAGCCTCGACAGTGGTGCCATTGGCCAGCTTCTGGGATCCGGCAGTCTGGTTCGGGGGATACAGGCCCTGGACAAAGACGTTGGCCGAGTTTTGCAGCACATTGTCAACCGGGGCTGTGACGGCCAGCTGGGACAGGACAGCCTGGTTGGCGCTGATGCTGGAGATGCGCTGGTCGGCGTCGCTGGTGATGTAGCGGTTGCGGTAGAACTCGGCAGAGCTGGCCACCTGCTGGGCTCCCAGGGGAGTCAAGCTGACGGGAGTCCAAGCCTTGGACGTGCGGTCTCCGTGGCGGTGGAAGATGTAGACGCCGAGGACCTGCTCAGCGGCGGCCGGGGCAACGGCAGCGGCCGAGAGGGTTGCGAGGAGGAGCTTGGGCTGCATCTTGAAGCTCGTTGCTGAGGCTGCGGATGGAGGAAGAAGAGGAAGAAGAAGCAATCTATGCCTGGTTGCCTGCCTGCCCAGTACTTGACCCGTACTGTAGTTATCGCGGGAGAAGAAACGAGAAGAGAGAGGGCGTGAGAGGGCGATTGGGCATATACACGGGCATACCTACTTATACGCCAGCCTGGAAGCTGAAGTTACAGTTAGTACTCGTAGAGCAAAGCAAAGCAAAGCATCCATGATAGCATGATACATGCAGTCGGGCCCTGTCCATCGGATGCCCTGGCGCCCCATTGCTTCCCTGCCCGTTGACCAAAGCAGGCATGTGTGAGCGAGCCGTTTGCAGAACAAGCTTTGCTAGACCCAATTAGCCCGGGACTTTTCTCGCGGGCCTGCAAGCTGGAGTGGAGAGCTTGGGCCGGCAGCGAATTGAAGCCGTCGAGGGCGCAAAAAGAGTGGCGTTGAGAGAGATGCAGAAAAAGCCCCGCCGGGAGGGGGAAGCAGAAAAAGCAGAGGTGCGGGATTGTCGTGTGGCTCGCGTAAAGCTGGAGAGGGGCGGTTTAGGTGCCTTGGGGCACTAAACGGTTAGGGGGCTACCTACCTGTAGGTTTTTAGGCCGGGGCTGGAAGAGGGAAGATGGAAGATCGGCAGAGGGGCAGGGCGGAACCTACCTAGCTTTTTGGGCGGGAGGACTCAATTCAGCTGCCAGCTTCTTCTTCCTTGACTCTTACAGACAGCAGCTTGTCTCGATGTTATTATTATATCATATCACCATGTTGACCTCGCATCAGATGGCATTGCACGGGAAACCTCGATCATCAAGACTCTTCATCTTCTCTTCTCACAGCTCGTGCAGATGCTTTACAATATAATATTGACGCTAAACCCACATCCAACACCATCCTCCGTTGTCGTCCTGCAAACAACTTCCCCGAACGAACGACGCCAAGCAGACGTTCCCACCACCACCACCACCACCACCACCACCACCATCAACCACCCGAAATCCCCGCCCTCTCGGAGATACTCCCACGACGCCATTGGCCGCATCAGCGCCAGCCGGCCTGCGGTTCCCGACAACCGCCTGCTTCTCCCTCGAGGTGGGGTTTGGCTGATAAGAGCAGCTGGCCCGAAAGGCGAAGGCGAAGGCATCAGAAGAGACAAGCAGGATTCGACATGGCTGCGGCCACCTTGGAATCTTGGTGCCATGGCGCTCAGCTAACGGGGTTTATTGGCCGAGTTATATCTCACTCTTCAGGCCCATCTTCCAATGATCTAGAAGCACAGCCAAAGCATCTTGGTGCTCCGTTGCCACCGCCAAAAGCAAATCTGGATATCCAAACTCAATCAAGACTCGGACTATTCCCGCGCCGTCTCTGCGCCCTCTTTCGGCCTACTTGCAAGAAAGACATCATTGACTTGTCACTTTTTTCAGCTCACGAATTCTTTAGTTTCTCCGATTGTCCTGTTCCCTAAAAGTATGCATGCAATCTGCCCCCAGCTTGGCATGTGAATGAGGCACCCGCCGTTATCTACAGTCGACGCTTCCATCTGCCGTTTTACCGAGGGGTTGAAAAATCCAGCTTGGCAATCTCAAAATCAATGTTCAGCAGTAGTGATAATGAATGCTCTTTGATTGACGGGCGCAACATCTCCGAGGACGCAGTACCAGGGCAATCGGATCCGCTGAGACGCATGCTTTAATTTTTTTCGGCAGACTAGCTTCATGTCAGCTTCTCACACATGCGGTATCAAGCTTGCCGAGATTGATACGAGGTACGAGTGTCGTACATTGCGCTGTTGATCTTATTCTGCTTGGCATCGGTAGTAGATGTCGGTTTGTGGGGTTGTATTCCGTACAGACAAAGGTAAGGATGTATGGTCGATGGTCGTGAGTCTCTTGTTCGAGTTGACTCTCCTTTAAAGAGCAATGGAGTTGTGGAAATGCCAATAGTACTAATCCATTGATGTTCAGCCTCGGGTGGGTAATGAGCGCCTTATGGGTGCTTGTAAATCAACGGCTTTCTTTCACGTCCAACACCAGGAATTTCTTCTACAACAGCGGGCATTACCAAGGTAATCAACGCCATTCTTGCCTCGCACAACTTGGTCAAGAGATGCGAGGCATTCTGTACTTTGCTCCCACGGGTGCGACCAATATGCAGCCATCATGGCAACATATCACCTAGCCGGTCCAACAGCCATCGTATGGTTTACTTGGCGAGTGAGGCTGTGGTTATCTGGAGTTGCTGCCTGAATATCTGCCCAATGAACTCGACGAGCGTTACCGAGAAACCGAGGTGACCAACCAGAGTCCATGCTAGGTACATACATACCAATAGGCAGTGTAACTCAATAACGCACTCAAGTTCGAAATCAGCCTTATCAACACCCATCGTCCGGTATGCTTTGTTACGGCCCCCAGATACCCTAAAAGATGTCGAAGAGAGACTTTGGGCTTGAGAATAACCAAGGAGCTTTAGTGGAAGAAAACAACAGGGGCGTTGGTGATGATGCGCCGGCTCCTTTGCGCAAATTGAAGCCGGTTGAATATACCGTCGGCTGGATCTGCGCCATAAAGGTAGAGTACGTTGCCGCCCAAGAGTTCCTCGACGAAGAACACGAGGGACCAGAACCGGACGATGTGTCTCCTCAAGACAACAACAACTACGCATTGGGCAGCATCGGGAAGCACAATGTTGTTATCGCCACCTTGCCCCTTGGAGAGTACGGGATAGCATCAGCAGCAACCGTTGCTAGAGACATGATGCACTCCTTTCCCAATGTCAGAATCGGTCTAATGGTCGGCATTGGCGGCGGCGCTCCAAGCGAACATCACGACATCCGCCTTGGCGACATCGTGGTCAGCGCTCCAAAAGACGGGAGCAGCGGGCTACTTCAGTACGACTTTGGCAAGAATATCCAAGATCAGAGCTACCTGACCACCACAGGGTTTCTGAACCAGCCACCCATTGCTCTGCGGACGGCACTGGCAGGACTCCAGGCCCAATACGAGAGAAGAGGCCATCGGCTTGAACAAGCAGTCAACAGTGTCCTTGAGAAGAACAGGAGACTGCGGCGCCAGTATAGGCGGCCGGATCAAAGCAGCGATAGGCTCTATCAACCTGGGGTCATCCACCCAAACACTAAAGAAGGCTGCAGTCTTGCATGTGATCCATCTGGGCTAATCCCGCGACTCGAACGCGCCGAAGACGAGGATAACCCAGCAATTCATTACGGTCTAATTGCTTCGGCGAACCAGCTGATGAAGAATGCCTTCCTTCGGGATAAGCTTGCAGCAGAGAAAGACGTTTTATGTTTCGAGATGGAAGCCTCCGGGCTGATGAACCACTTTCCCTGCTTAGCTATTCGAGGTATATGCGACTACTCAGATTCCCACAAGAATAAGGAGTGGCAAGGATACGCAGCTATGATAGCAGCTGCGTATGCAAAAGACCTTCTATATAGGATCGCTCCCAACAGCGTTACAGCAGAGAAAAGGATCAAGGATATACTCACAGGTCAGTCCAAGAAATTTAAACTGTCATCAGATCAATGAGCAGCTAATGAATATACGGCCATGATAGATGTGCAAGAGACGGTCAAAGATGTGGGAAAAGATGTTAATAAACTTATCCATAAGCAATATAATCAAGAACACCAAGCCATCCTGGACTGGCTTACGCCTATTGATTACGCCCCTCAGCACAACGACTTTATTAGCAGAAAACAGGAAGGAACAGGCCAATGGCTTCTAGAGTCGGCAGAATTTCAAGCGTGGGTTAAAACAAACGGGCAGACACTCTTTTGTCCCGGCATCCCTGGAGCTGGCAAAACCATCATCACAGCAATAGTAATCAACCATCTGCTTGCTAATTTCCACAATGACCCGCATGTCGGTGTTGCGTACATATATTGCAACTTTCGGCAACAAGACGAGCAAACGGCCGAAAAACTGCTCACGAATCTGCTGAAGCAGCTAGCCCAGGCTCAATCATCTCTACCAGAGATGGTCAAAGATCTCTATGACAAACACGAAAAGAGGCGCACGCGGCCATCGCTTGATGAGATTACGGCAACGCTCCATTCTATGACTGCAGCATATTCAAGGACCTTTATCGTAATCGATGCTCTGGATGAATGCCAAGATTTGAGTCGGCTGAGGCTCCTCGATGAAATATTCAACCTTCAGGCCAAAACTGGAGCAAACATCTTCGCTACCTCTAGGATCAACGACACCATAAGGAGACGCTTTGACGGATCAGCAACTGTCGAAATTTCCGCAGACGAAAGCGATGTAGTGGCCTACTTAGACGGGCAGATGACACTACGACGTTCAGACATCATTAATGACGACATTCAAGACAAAATCAGGACTGGAGTGCTTAAAGCTGCTGGTGGAATGTATGCCACATGGTCCGTGAATTTTAAAGGATCACTGAGCTGACGACGCGAAATTAGGTTCCTTCTTGCAACTTTTCACATTGACACAATCATGAGTCAGCCTACAAGAGGAGAAATCAAGGAGGTATTGAAAAAATTGGGCAGGGGGGTGGAAGGATTACATGAAATATATAAGCAAGCCATGGAGAGGATCGAAGGTCACACAGACGCTATTCGATCTCTTGCAAAACGGATCCTAACTTGGATTACTCTCGCCAAAAGACCTCTTTCTATCACAGAGATGCAGCATGCGGTTGCGGTCAGGGAGTATATGACGGCGTTCGACACTGACTACATACCGGATGTGAAGGATCTTAAATCTGTGTGTGCCGGGCTTGTGACGACCGATGAAGAAAGTGGAATCATTCGGCTGGTCCACTACACGACTCAAGAGTTCCTCCACCAGACGAAGGAAACGTGGTGTCCCGAAGGGGAGTCTTATATCACGAAAATATGCGTTACGTACCTGTCATTCAGTCCTTTCAGCAGCTGTCATACCTATGATGAACTTGAAGAGCGTCTGAAATCCAACCCTCTGTATGATTATGCCGCACGCAACTGGGGACATCACGCTCGAGTGGCTTCCACGGCAGTTCGGGAAGTCGTGGACTTTCTGAAGGCCAAGACGAAAGTTGAGGCGTCGATCCAGGTACTGCTGACGCCAGATTCAATAATAAGGTCATGGAAAGATCTGGAACACACAGTGGCTCCAAAAGAAATGTCGGGACTACACTTGGCAGCGTACTTTGGAGTTGAGAGAGCAGTTGATTACTTGCTTCAAACTGGTTGCAGTCCTGACTTGAAGGATACATACGGCCGGACTCCTTTATCATGGGCTGCTAAAAATGGCAGCGTAGCTGTCATTGCACAACTGTTGGCGACAGGTCAAGTTGAGGCGGATTCTAAGGATGAATGGAACAACACGCCACTGTTTAATGCTATCAAGCACAACCATGAGGATGCTGTCAAGCTACTTCTGGAAGCTGGTGTCAACGCAAACTCGAAAAACGGTCACTACATGAGCACTCCACTACTTCAGGCTTCAGCAAACGGCAATGTCGCGATTGTTAGGCTACTTCTCAAATACGGGGCCATGGTAGACCTCAAGGATGATAATGGTATCACGCCACTCGTTTCAGCAATCGAGCGCAAAAACGAGCAAGTTGTGCAGTTACTTCTTGATCACGGCGCCAACGTGAAGGTACAAGGCAACCTTGACAGAACGCCATTGTTGCTGGCGGCAGCAGGGAGACTTGCAGTTAAATTATTACTTGACGAAGGAGATGACTCAAAGCCAAAGGACGGCGATCGTAGACGATCACCAATACTACCCGCAGCAGAGGACGGCTATGTGACTATTGTTCAGCTATTGCTTGACAAAGGCGCCGACGTTGAATCAATGGATATGCACGGGCGGACGCCATTATCATATGCGGCGGAAAATGGGTATAAAGCTATGGTTCAGCTGCTACTTGAAAATGGCGCTGGCATCGACTCGAAGGGGGGAGGTAGCCGAACACCACTGTCATATGCAGCAAGGAATGGACACACGGCCGTTGTTCAGCTATTACTTGATAAAGGCGCTGACTTTAAGCTAACTGATATTCGCGGATGGACACCGCTATCATATGCAGCAGAGACTGGGCATACGGCCATTGTTCAGCTGCTACTTGAAAGAGGCGCCGACTTCGAGTTGAATGTTGCTCGCGGGCGAACACCGCTCTCATACGCAGCAGAGAACGGGCACACGGCCATCGTTCGGCTGCTGCTTGGAAGAGGTGCCGACATTAATTCGATGGATGAGGAGCTCGAGCCAACGCCGCTGTTTTTGGTAGCCCCCGCAGTGAAAGTAGACATGCCCGTCGTCCAGCGGCTACTCGACAGTCTGAAAGACATTGACATGGACAAGAAGTTGAAGGACAGCAGGCGCGGGCGGACACCGCTGTTATGGGCAGCAATGAACGGGCATGAGGCTATTGTTCAACTTCTTCTCGATAAAGGTGCGAATATCGACTCAAAGGATAGCTATGGGCGGACACCGCTATCGTACGCAGCAATGAAAGGGCACAAGGCGATTTTGCGGCTGCTTCTTGATAAAGGTACCAACATCGACTCGAGGGATAACTATGGGCGGACACCATTATTATACGCAACATCAGTAGGGTATATGGATATTGTACAGTCATTGCTTGACAAAGGCGCCGACTTGAACTTGCGGGATAAGAATGGGATGACGCCACTATCATTGGCACAAGAGAATGGACACAAAGTTGTTGTTCAGTTACTGTTTGACAGAGGCGCCAGGAGCATGCACGTTCAACCTAATTACAAGTATATATTGAAAGTAAGGGGGGCTTAGACTCTGCTCTTCCCTTTGGGAACTATATCAGAAGAAAGATCAACTTGTATATGTAGCTAGCTGTCTCTTTCCCTTGGCATGTGGAGATCCAAGTTCTTTTATAAGTGTGTGAGAAAGGAGAGTATCTTTCAGAGTATGATGCGCTTTCAAACAAATGTGTATTCTGTATACGAAATAGAAATGACATTGAAATTGCTGTGCTTTAGATTCTATGGCTGCTAATCAACAGCCTCGATACGTCTCATGTCTCCTAGGGCAGGATTCTCTGTCCCGCCACCCAGACGCCACAACTTCTTCTTCCCCCTCCCTTCGCGTCAGCTTCTTTCAAAGCTTAGACTTGTCCCTTTTTCCTCCCTTGAGGCCCTCGGAGATCTGTTCCGTGTTGAGAAAGTCGGGGTATTCAACGCCTGCATCCACACCAACCGTATAGGCCCCCTGCCTCCTCCACGAAGCACCGTCCACGGGGATGATCTGGCCGTTGATGTAGCCGGAGGCGTCGCTGAAGAGGAACACGGTCGCATCCGCAATGTCCCTGACTGTGCCGTATCGTCCAGAGGGGATCGTCTTTGCAAACTTTGCAATCTCCTCGGGCCTGCTGCTCGCCAGGCGGGCCATGCCCTCGGTGCCGGCGATGGGGCCGGGAGCGATGACGTTGGCGACCACGCCACGGGGGCCGTACTCGAGCGCGACGTTGGCGATGAGTGAGTCCACGGCGGCTTTGGCGGCGGAGACGTGCGACTGGAAGGGCATGCCGGTGTAGTGGAAGGTGGCGGAGACGGCGATGATGCGGGGGGTCGAGCTCTTGAGGAGATGCGGGATCGTGGCCTTGATGGTGTTGTAGGTGCCGATCACGTCAATGTCCATGACGGTCTTGAAGGCGTTGGAGCTGATTTTGTCGATGGAGGCGACAAAGTTGCCCGCCGCACCAGCACTGTTGGGTTCAAAGTTGTTAGTATCGCATTCGCCATCCGGGGGGGGAGCAGCAGACGGGAACGGCATCTCACATTACAAAGTCAATGCCTCCAAGCTCCTTGACGCATCGCGCGGCCGCAGCCTCAAGACTCTCAATCTAGCATCGGGACTGGCGTCAGCAACTGGCCGTCTATATCGTTTGCGGCCCAAGAGCCGGATCCAATCTACCTTGCGGACGTCGCATTCTCCAATGCCAATGACCTTTGCGCCCGGCCGAGCTGTTGCAATGTCCTTGGCCGCGGCCTCCGTCTTGCCGGCGTTTCGGCCGAGGATACAGGCGTTGGCTCCGAGTCGGACCATTGCTCTGGTCTGCATGCTGCAGATGGAGCCTGCGCCGCCGGTGACGAAGATGACCTTGTCCTCTGTGGGCGAGCAAACACGGGGTCAGCCACATGCACGCATCGCATGTCTGTCTCTTCTCCATGCGCGGAAGACTCACTGAAGATGTTGTCTCGCCATACGGCGCTCAAGTATGTGGATTCGGGGACCGACATTGTTGCGATGCGACGTCTGTCTGTGTTGTTGGGAGGAGATCAAGCAAGAATCGGTGTGCGGTTGGACGGGTTGGACAGACAGACAGAGGCGAGGGGGGAGAGAATCTTGGGACCGAATCAACGAGGCAGAGCGACGGTTGATATTGATGTTTGCCCGGCCTTTATGATCTGTCGGTCCAGCCGGGAAAAGAGCGAGAGCGACAGTGACAGTGATAGTGATAGTGGCAGACGAAGCATGGCGAAATCGAGCGAGATTATGGAGTCGATGTAAGCTTGAAGGATAAGAGGATCCCCAGAATGCGCATGTGCCTCGGTAAGCCGGTATTTCGGGGTGGGGCGCCGTTAAAAGTGGCCGCGGCGAAACCGCACGATTAGTCGCAGATTCTGGGGTAAAAATTCCACGGAGGGCTTTTTTTTTTGGAATCAACATGTGTGTGTGTCCGTACTGTGTTTCTTTTGATTCCGACTGGTTGAGCTTAGTGTAAGGGGTGGTTTTTGCCACTGGCGATGCTAAAACAAATCCGCGGGGAATGGACATGTGGACAGGGAAGTTCGCATTCGCATTCACATGTGGCTCAAACGCCAACCACAAGTGAATTGGGTCTTTATCGGGCTTAATAGTTAGTCGTCTAGGTAGATGGGCATGTGTCACTGACAACTTGGAATACATAGCCTAGGGCACACCTTGTATCTCGTCTCACTTGATATCCTGCTTGCTTTGTATTCACCTGACACTGACTTGATGCTGTGAAACATTCAGTCGGGGAGCCAACATGTGGTCGACGGGTGGAAAGGACACCATCTTGTCTAGCTACAACAAGGGTTTACCTTGTTATGGCGGCTCGACTTTGTTTCTCATGCTTACTGCTGACTCTTTCTCTATGTATACAGATGCCAGAGAGCGCCTAGTTGATCTGTCGGTTTCGCTCTGGATCTAGCATTGCGAGGCAACTTATCGAAACGATGACAGTACATTGAATGGAACATGATACCTCGTCAATTCAAAGGACTCGAGTTGAATGAGAGTTGGATAACAGGTACAGCCCTACATGGAGTATCACCAGGTATCACCAGGCTATTCCGTGTAGCTGCTCCAAATCAACGCACGTGCTAATCAGCGCCTTGCAATTGGAATACGTAGAGATGAATCGATTCAAGCATCATCTCCCTCCTATGGCAAATTAAAAAAAAAATGTACCCCTCGATTCCCCTCACATTCGATACTCGAATCAGCAAGAAAGCATTTAATCGAATAAATCAATGCCAGACACACACAGAGAGTGCAAGGGTGCCTGCATGCATGCATTGAGTGAGCTGGCACCGCATTGATCTTCTCCGCTTCGGAACAAGAAAAAGACACGCACGCAGCCCAGTAAAAAACGTGCGGCCTCGCCCCCCAAAAAAACTACAGGTGCACAAGCCTCTGCCAGCCTCATCCCTACCCCCCTACAAGTGCACTACAATCCACTACAGTCCACTGCTGCAGTCCACTAACAGTCCACCACGCCTCGCCCTGGCCCTGCTATTCGCCAGCGGGTAACAGGCTCCAGCTCCGCGTCCTGAATGACGACCTGGAACGAAACAGCTAGCCTTGCCCATATTTCATCGTTGCATGCATTGAGCCTCTATCGTATTCCACTCCTACCTACACCAACTACTGTGATTTCACATCAGCCATCGCCCGCCAGCATCAAATATCGCGAAAGCTGTCGACACCACTGCGTCGTGAACACATGTCGGACTGAGTACCGCCTTTCGCCACTCGTCCGCCCTACTCGGACGATCCCCATCGCCAGCCTTTGCGCCGCCCAGCGCTGGGAGGTGCTTGAAGCTGCAGTCAGAAATATATAGGGAGCACCGCGAACCTTGACCTTGCTTGCCCTGCTAGGAGAGAGCTGGGGCGGGAAAACAACATTGGAACCTTGGCCCAGACGATCTCGATCTGCTGCCCGAGCACCCAGCAATGCCCAACTCGCTGGACCGAGCTGTGCGATTCTCCGGCGGCAACGACGACGACGGCGACGCAGCCAACCTGCTCCTGCAGAGCATGAAGCACGCCTTGATTGACGACGAGGACTCGTCCCCTGAATCCAACGGCGCCGACCAGCACACCATCGAGCGCCAGGACGAGCTGGGGTCGCTCAGCAGGTATGCCGACGCCCCAAACAGCATCACCGGCTCGCTGAGCTCGTTGCCGCCCGGCACGCACGTCAATGGCGGCCCGCCTCCCAAGCGGCCCAGCGCAGGAGAGGCCGACGCGCCGTACCTTCAGCGTCCCTCGGCCCCCGTGCGAATGCCGTCCAATACGTACAACCCTTCCACATCTCGAAAGCCCGCTCCGCAGGCGCAGGCGTCCTTTTCGGAATCCGCCCGATCCTCGTCCAAGACGCGACCGCGGCAGAGCGACAGCCGCTTTCGGGCGCAAGAGAGAGCGTACGTCCAGACGCTGCGGCAAGGAGGCTACACGGGCGAATATTTCAGCCAGTTCCAGGCACAAACCGGAAATGAATCCGACTCGGAGGGCGAGACCCCATCTTCTGAGGGTCCCTTTGACGACCGCCTCGACCAAGAGACCATCATGTTCTACGGCAACGACGACATACAGCCGACGGAGGAAGACATTTCAATACCCGAAAACCGGGAACGGTTGGAGTGGCACGGCATGCTGGAGGCCGTGTTGACGGGAGATGTCGTCCGGCAGGAGAAGAAGCGGCTGATCAGTGCTACCGACACCACCACCAACAGGGCGACATACAGACAGGAGCTGTGGCTTGAGCTCCGAGCAGAATCGTGTGGTAGACGTCTTCCGGTCCAGAAGCGCATGATGGAGGATGGCCGGGCCAGCGTGGATCGTCTCTTGGACGAAGTCATCAACTTCGAAGTTAAGGGAACCAACGAGGCGGGGAAACCACCCTACGAGCAAGTCAAGGACGTGGTCAAGAAGATTGAAAAGTGCCAGAGCATGTATCCTTCTTGGACAGCTCTCGTCACCGAACACAAGACTGCCGTTTCCCCCCAGTTCCTGGAAGCCTACGAAGCCATCATGTCTTGGTATAACACAAACGAGATGATCAACACCGAGCTCGCCATTCTCAAAAAATGGGTCGGCAACGATGAGCTGGACTTTTCCAGGACCAAGCAGCGTTCCCCGGCCGTCGACGGCATCACCACGGACGAGACTTCGTTCCTCGATAGGCTGATGAAGGAGGACGGCCTCCAGTCGCTGTACAACGAGAACGCAAAGGTTATCCTCAGGGGCGATTTAGTCCAGTTGGGAATGCTGGTGCCGATATCAAACGTCATCAAAAAAGCAAAGGAGACGTTGATCTACAACTCGGTCCCCTTCCAGAAACGACACCTGCCGCCATACCTCGATGAGCTGCTGACCCTCATCAGCTTTCCCTCACGCCTGATTGAGGAGATTACAAAAACGCGACTGGAGTATGCCAAGAAGATGAGGGACACGGCCCAGCAAAATCCGCTGATGCAAGATCAGATGATCTCCCAGTTCCAGCTACTCCTGCGGTTCGCCATCAGGATCAAGACTGAGTATCTCGAGATCGAGAAGCCGGAACCCGGGTGGGACCTGCCTCCCTGCATCGACGAGACGTTCGATGCGGTGGTGCTGGGGGCCCTCAAGTACTACTTCAAGCTGCTCAACTGGAAGCTCACCGGCAACAAAAACACCTTCAAGGAGGCCGAGCTGCTGTTTCAGGAGTGGGACTTTGCCAACGAAATTGGCGGAAACCTCCAACGCGGTAGCATTGAGGTTGCGGAGCAGTTCAGCTCGCTGACGCTCAAGGCCTTTAAGCGCCTGAGCACCATGTTTGAGAGAGAACTCCAGGAGAAGCCCAACGAGAGCGGGCCAGAGATGAGCAAGCGATACAAGGCCGCCCTGGACTCTGTGCGCGTCCGCCAGAGGATGCTTCAGCGCTTTTCGAGAAGGCTAAGCGAAAACTACGAGCACGCCTGCGACTTTAACATTTCCTTTGGGCCGGAAGAGCTGCAGGTGTTTTACGACCACCTGGTGGCGTCGGGCCACTTCCAGGTGGACACGTACGGCGTGTTTGAGTCCCTCAACGTCTACTTGATTGCATCTCCAGAAATGAGGCACAGGCTCGACGACATTTCGCCCATGTTGGCCATTACCTCTGCGGATCGGTTCGCCGACGATTCCGGCGATCAGTACGTCCTCATCATCAAACCGGAAGGTCGTCTCTCGTGGTTCGGTGAGGTCGTGGGTGTGCAGGTCAAGGAGCAGAATATCGAGATGAAGACCGGGCAAGTCCGGCTCTGCACCACGGGAAGCGAGGCCATCGCCAATGCGCGAAGGACCTTCCTCGACGCCATCGACATGCACCTCGACCTAGCGCAAGAGTCGCGGCCCAACATCCACAAAGTCCACACGAGGCTAGCCGACATTCGCAGCACGGCCTACAAGCTGTCCAACGCGTTCATGGAGAGCGTCGAGATCATCAGGAAACAGACGAGAGGCAAAGACTGCCAGGAGCTCATTCAGACGTGCTTCATTTCCGCCACGGAGTTTGGCCAGCGCTCGCTGCTGTACATGGACGCCAACCGCCGGCAGATGAACAACATCCAACTGACCAAGCTGGCGCTGGACTGGGTCAGCTTCATCTGCGACGACTGCGTGGCGTCGGATCGAAGAACATTCAGGTGGGCAGTGCTTGCTCTCGAGTTTGCCATGGGCATGACCCGCGGGCGCCACATCTTGGGCCTGGGCCAGGAGGAGTATGAGAGGGTGCGTGCCAAGGTCGGCGGGTGCATGTCTGTCCTGATCTCGCACTTTGACATTATGGGGGCGAGATCCAGCTTGGCCGCCCAAGCCGAGAAGGAAAGAATCGAGAATCTTGTGAGTCAGTTTAGGAAGGACAAGAACAAGATGCTGGACGACGACGAGGCCACGCTGGGCGTTACCGAGCAGCGGCTGGAGAAGCTCATTCGCGTGGACGAGTTTCGGCAAGACAAGGAGGCCGAGCGGCGCGCACTGGGCCGAGTGCTGGAGACGAACAACGAGGCCGACCGGTCGCTGGCCTATCTGTCGGCATCGGCGACAAACGTCACGGTGCGATGGCAGCAGGGCCAGTTTGTGGGCGGAGGCACATTTGGCAACGTGTACGCAGCTATGAACTTGGACACGGGCCATCTGATGGCGGTCAAGGAGATTCGGCTCCAGGACCCCAAGCTGATCCCGACGATTGCCGAGTCGATTCGCGAGGAGATGCGGGTGCTGGAAGTGCTGGACCACCCCAACGTCGTATCCTATCACGGCATCGAAGTGCACCGAGATCGCGTGTACATTTTCATGGAGTTTTGCTCCGGAGGGTCCCTGGCCAGCCTGCTGGAGCACGGCCGTATCGAAGAGGAAGAGGTCATTATGGTGTATGCGCTGCAGCTGCTAGAAGGCCTCGCATATCTACATGAGAGTGGAATTGCTCATCGAGATATCAAGCCTGAGAGTGAGTCTTTCTTGATTACCCTTTTTTGGTTCGGTCCAGCTGGGATAGCTAACACGAATCACCAGACATTCTTCTCGACCACAATGGCATTATCAAGTATGTAGACTTTGGCGCTGCTAAACTCATTGCTCGTCAGGGGCGAACAATGGCCGCCGATCTGCACGCCACAAAGCCAAACAAGTCCATGACGGGAACTCCCATGTACATGTCGCCCGAGGTCATCAAGGGCGACAACCCCGGTAAGGCTGGGGCGGTGGACATTTGGTCCTTGGGATGCGTGATTCTCGAGATGGCAACGGGACGACGGCCATGGGCCAACCTGGACAACGAATGGGCCATCATGTACAACATTGCCCAGGGCAACCCGCCGCAGCTCCCGTCGCCAGAGCAGCTCAGCCCTCAGGGCATCGACTTCCTCACCAAGTGCTTCACACGAGATCCTAAGCAGAGATCGACGGCAATAGAACTGCTGCAGCATGAGTGGATAATGACCATCAGAAACCAAGTAGTTGAGCCGGCGACGCCCAGCGATGCTAGTGGATCGTCTCTGTCGCCGTTTGTGTCGGCCACCTCGACGAGGACCAGCGTTGGGCCAGATGGATTTTACTAGAGGGCGAGACAAGGCGCAGCTGATGAACGATTCAACGCCTTTTGCTACCTCTTTTTATTCTTTTTTCTCTTTTTGATCCTTCTCGAAGTGGGATTTTGGCTTCTTCTTCTTTTTCCTACTTTGCTTCTTCTCTTCTTTTGCCGTTGACATATGGCGAGATGCAAATGACACGAAACCAACAAATAAGCGAGCATTACATACATGGGAGATGAGCTGATTTTTTGCACGTCATTTACTTATTTCTTGGCTTTCTTTCCATGTCCCCCCTTTTTTTCTTCTCTTTTTTTTCAGCAACCTTGAACTATTATGGGAGGAAATGGTGATATTTTGCTTCGACGATACCTACACACACAAAGATTGCATCAGGGAAGAGAGTCCGGAGTTGGTATGCCATGTTTGACACTTTACATGCAAACAAAGAACTGGACAGCCTGGATAATTGGTGGGCGGGAAATTGACATGGAGGAAATACGGGCTTACTCGAAGGAGGAGATGAAAGGATATGAACTATATTTTGAGCAAACTACCTGTACCTACCGGGAGTCGGTACAACGAAGGGCGACGGAACCTTGCTTTTTCCTCTTTTTTTATCTACTTGTTGATTTTTTTTTTTCTCTTGGTTTTAAGTGCGAATACATATACGAATGCATGTTGTAAGAGAGCGGTAGTTTTGAACAAGAAACTCGTGACAAGGGACATTCGAGCAGTCGGACAAGGGCAGAATCGAAAATACGCGTTTTAAGTGGACACCGATTTGCCAATAGATTACGCAGACCCGAGGACGGAGTACAAAGTACGTAATATGACCAAGAGATATGCCAGCTGATAGCAGCAGATGCGGACACGCACAGCGACCAGACGTCTACCTCGTAGCACGGCCCTTGTCGTATGCAGAAGCCAGGTACCCGCGGCGTAACCCCCCCGGGGCTCATAGGTATCAAACTCAAATACAGGCAAGAAGACCGCCAAGAAACCCGCCAGCGCAGCGATGTGCTCGCTCACAGGCAGGAGCCGCCGCATTCGGTCGAGGCCAAGCCGGCGCCTGCCGTCGCTGCCATGGCACTTTCCCCCGCCTGCAGCCCCGCATCTACGGCGTGTTCCGGTGGGGGGAGGAAGGAGCGCCCCCGGGTTGATAAAGTCTGTTTTTTCTCCTCTCTCCCCTTTTTTCCTTTTCTCTTTTCTTCTTTCCCCGGGCCATCTTGAAATTCCCCCCCTTCTAGGCATATTGTGCTGAGGAGGTGTAATTGTTATAATTATTTGATTGACGTCTCTCTTTTTTTTTCCCCGAATAACGAGATACGAGAAGACGAAGAGTGACTCGGCGCCTTTATCTACTAACCCATCTTTGATATCAAGTAAAAGAAAGAAGAAGAAAATGTCCAGCCCGCCCATCCGCTCCGGCGCCGACGCAGCCCAGACCGCCTCAACCTGCGCATCGCTCAACATCACAACCGCCGAGTTCGCCGAGCTGCAGCGCCGCGCCACGGCGGCAAAGGCCACGGCGTACTGCCGCTACAGCCGGTTCCGCGTGGGCGCGACGCTGCTGTGCGCCGACGCCGCGGGCGAGACGGTTTACGTGCCGGGGGCCAACGTGGAGAACGCGTCGTATCCCGTCGGGACGTGCGCCGAGCGGGTGGCCTTTGGCACGGCGGTGACGAGCGGCATCACGGCGTTTCGGGCCATTGCCGTGGCGACGGACATTAGCCCGCCGGCGAGCCCCTGCGGCATGTGCAGGCAGTTGTGAGTTCTAGTCCTGGTCTATTTTTTCCCTTCTTTTTCTCGGAAGCGGTGATGGTGGTGGTTGGTGTTTGGTGTGTCGGGCTGAGTTGGATGACTGTATGCAAGGGAGAGAGGCGGGAAGAAGACAGAGGAGGGCGGGAAAGATGAAAGGGGGGGAAAGTAAAAGAAAGAAAAAGGAGCACGGGAGGACAGAGAGACAGCATCAAGATGGCTTGGCTTGGCTTGAGAACAGCTGAAAACTAACCGCTTGGCTGGCAGCATCCGCGAGTTTTGCTCCCTGCAGACCCCCGTCATCATGTTTGACAAAAACTCCGACTACGTTGTCATGACCCTTGAACAGGTGAGTCTTTTCTTTTCTCCCTTGCAGCCCAGACAGACATTGTGCCTTGCTTTTTTGTTTTTTTTCTTTCCTTGCCTCCGCTTTACAACAGACACATCAGCCGTCGTGGAACCAAGCCATCTAAGCTGGCTGGCCACCTGTCAAACACACGGCACACGGCACACAGCGCCCCCAACACCATTCATTGGCTAACGTGTGTCTCTCCCTTGCAGCTTCTCCCCATGTCGTTCGGCCCAGAGGCTCTCCCGCCTCCTGGCGCCCCGGGATATTGATTGACGTGTCTTTGATGGCCGTGCGTTTTGACACTATTGACCTTGGTGCAGCTGCAAGGGATGCCGGGGAAGGGTGGGTGGAACGACAGAGTGGCGGCGGTTTCACAAGTCTAATTTAATGACAATGCATCTGACGGCAAGTTTTTTTGTATTGTGGGTTTGGATATGGATACAGTTTTTATTTGATAGTAGGACAGCGTAATATAAGATAATGCATGTCTCGAAAGACAATTTCCGCAATGCGTTGACCGAATGCAGGTGGAGAAGCGTGGGACTCATCACGATGTTCTTGATACAGGCCCTTCGTATTCTGGTTCTGCTAAGAGAGAGAGAGAAAGTAAGGTCAAAAGATCCTAGGCAGGATACGACAAGATTGGTCATGGTTCGGGACAGTGGCATAAAGTACATGAAACCAATCTTGAAAGAATCGAAATTAGAAAGAAAAAGACAAAAGCAAAGAAATCCAAAGAAGTGAAATACCCTCATTTCATCCCATCCCGCACGTCCCATTCCCATTCGTTCTGTCGTTGATACGATTCCCGTAGACCCTCCCTGTGCGTGTTCAAATATGCTGTACTTTGTATGTAGAATATCGTATGTATTATCTATGTATTTCAAAAAAGAGGAAGTAAGTCGAAAGTAAGAACAGAGACGGCACTGTACAACACAACTGCCCATGTCACGTCTTGTTGCGTCTCATTAAACCTTGTTTCAATCCACTTCCAGGCCGTGCCGTTGTCTTAGCGAGCCAATGAATATTACATTAAACCTCCCCCTCGCAGTCTTCGTCGTCGTCGCCACCATTGCCAGTGTTGTTATTAGTATCAGAAGATCTGGGACCAGCGGGGCCGGACGAGGATGATGGGCGAGGCAGGGTTGCAAACGTTGTGGGGACGCGGGTAGATGCGCCCTGTGTGGTAAAAGTGGTGACAGGGGGAATTGCGCCACCGGGTCTGGTAGGCGAGGCTCCGGAGCCAGGGGGGGTGAGCTGGTTGTCGCCGTCGTCACAGTCATCATCATCGCCGGGTGTGGGAGTACCAGTGGGATTAGCAGGAGTGCTCAAACCACTTGTCACAGCCCTGGTGGGAGAAGTGATGCTGCTAGAGGAAACATGATCGTTGAAGGCACCTCCAGGGACGGAGAAGGAGGGAGTGGGCTGGAAGGGAACGATGCTAGTCGAGCTGCTCTGATCAGCTGTAGAGCTCCGAGTGATGAAAATTGCCGTGGCAGGGGTGCTGCTTGCGGAACCAGAATCCGTGGGATCACAATCGTCGTCGTCACCATCATCGGTGGGCACGGCAGGTGTAGGGCTCGCTGTGTTGGAGCTTGGTGTGCCCGAGGCCGACGTAGAGGAGGCTAGGGTTGGGAACACGCCTCCAGGAGTGGAGCTTCTGGTGAAAGATGTCTCAGACGAAGCGGTGGATGAGCCGGCGCCTGGCGTGGGTTCGTCTGTTGGGTCGCAGTCATCTGTGTCGGTCGGCACAGAGCTGGTGGCCGAAGGAGTAGGTGAAGAGCCACCAATAAGTGTAGACGATGTCAAGAACTGACCGCCAGGGGGGCCTGAGGTGGTAGAAGAGCCACCAATGGATGTAGACGATGTCAGGAACTGACCACCAGGGGGGCCGGAAGAGGTGGCAGAAGAAGCAGTACCCGGAGTGGAGGACACGGCAGAGGTAGACGAGGTGGCGCTTGGCGTGGCTTCGTCTGTTGGGTCACAGTCGTCCGTGTCAGTTGGCACCGAGCTGGTGGCGGAAGCGGTAGTTGAGGAGCCGCCAATGGATGTCGAAGAGGTCAGGAACTGGCCACCAGGGGGGCCTGAAGAGGTAGCTGAGCTGGTGGACTGGGTAGATGACGCTCCACCCGGTGTAGTAGAAGACTGCGTGGATGATACTCCACCCGGTGTAGTAGAAGACTGCGTGGATGATACTCCGCTGGACGCAGTGGAAGACACGGAGGTGCTTGAGGAACCGCCAATGGATGTAGAGGATGTCAAGAACTGGCCACCAGGAGGACCGGAAGAGGTAGCTGAGCTGGTAGATGACGCTCCACCGGGTATGGTAGACGACTGCGTAGACGATACTCCACTCGACGCGGTGGAACTCACAGCGCTGCTGCTGCTGGGTTCACCTGTTGGATCGCAATCATCCGTATCAGTGGGCGCAGAGCTGGTGGCTGAAGTGGTGGAAGAGCTGCCAACAGATGTAGACGACGTCAAAAACTGGCCACCAGGAGGGCCTGAAGTGGTAGAAGAAGCCGTTCCAGAAGTGCTGGACTGAGTGGATGATAGTCCGCTCGACACAGTGGAAGATTGCGTAGACGACACTCTGCTTGAGACGGTGGAAGACTGCGTAGATGACACTACGCTCGACGCGGTGGTGGACTGCGTCGATGACACTCTGCTGGAAGCGGTGGAAGATGAAGCGCCGCTGCTCACAGTGGTGGAAGAGGTCAAGAACTGGCCGCCTGGAGGTGTAGAAGACGTGCTCGAGGCAGTGCCAGAAGTAGACGCGGAAGAACCAGCCGGGGGCACAGACGAAGAAGCAGTACGTGAAGTGGTAGACGAAGAAGCGGTGCGTGAAGTGGTAGACGAAGAAGCAGTGCGTGAAGTTGTAGACGAAGAAGCGGTGCGTGAGGTGGTAGACGCAGTGCTCGAAGTGCTACCAGAGTTGGTTGACCGAGACGACACTCTGCCTGAAGTCGTGGAGGAAACAGCAGGAGGCCTAGTCGTCGAAGACCTGCCACTAGTGGAGGCCGACGAGGTCACAAACTGACCGCCCGGGGTTGTGGAGGATGTCTTGGAGATGGCAGAAGACTGCGAAGACGTGAACGGGTTACCAGGTCTTGAGGTAGACTGGCTGGGCAGGATATGAGTCGTGCTGGAGCTGGCAGCAGGAGGGGAGTAGGGTGGCACAGATGGGTGAGAGACGGTCACGGTTGCGGTCTTGAGCGTTATTGGGGTAGACGTGACCGTATTGGGAGGCACCGTGGGAGTGACATAGATGGTCGTCTCAACAGTCAACGTGGTTGTCGTGATGATGCTGAGTGTAGCGCACGTTGGCAAGGTGTACTTGTTATCCAAGAGGCCCTTGGCCGCCTCATCAATAGCACGCTCTTCAGCTCTGAGCTATACATGACCATTCATTAGTACGGCGATTCCCAACAGTAACACGCAGGTTTCGTGTCATTCCACATACCTTGTTGCTCTCTGCTCCTGGATAGGCATCCACCATGGATAGCAGCCCAGTGGCTGCAAACAATGTGAGAAACCGCATGTCAACTTAGTTCAAGGCTCTCGACGTAAAACACAACAAAAAGATTGAATTAAAAAGGGGGCTCAAAGAAGAAATTTATAAACATCAACCAGATACTTGGGGGGACAATATATAAAGAGCGGACGGCCTGTCAAAGAAATTTTGCCGGGAGACGTGCGGGACGAGAGTTCATCTCCCAGAGCACGAGATGGAAGACCCGAGTTTTATATCACAAATCCCAGCCCCTGCATGATAACAATATGAATCTGGACCCAAATAAGACCCTCGGGATGAGCCCTTTGGAAGCAGGGAGGCTATCGGATGGCGATGATCCCGTGCAATAGTCCACTCGCGGTGTACAAGTAATCAGCCACAGCTGCAGGCGGGAAGGGAGCAAGGGAGCGACTTCGCCCTGCTTGGGCCCCCAAACAAGAAAAAAAAAAACATTGATAGTCAGGGGAACGGTCAAGTCAATGTCAAGGGAACACCAAGAGAGGAGATTCACGTGCCAAGAAATTTGAGATTTCACGAAACCAATTGATTCATTGTGCCATAGTCTGGCGTATAGCTTTTTCTGTGTTCTGAGCGTGGCTGCTCTGCTCGGGGCAGACGTGCCACTGAAAGTCCTTGTTGTAAGACGTAGATATGCAAAAGGGTATCCGGACCAGAGACACTCTCATTTTAAACGCCCGCTGCGTCTCTGGTCACACAACAAAAACAAGAGTGGGTTTAAAGAAATTTGTCCATCAAAAAGGTGCGGGAGAAAGCAATATGCATAAGTGTGTGTATGCGCCAATTTCCGAAAAAATCTCACAATGCTCGTCTCATGTCCGTGCGCCTGGAAAGTCAAGTGAAACAGAGTGCCCTTTCCGTACCAAACCTAGTAAAAGAGAGAAAGAAGGAAAAGGAAAAACAAAAACAAGTCTGCGCACGCTCATATGCAGTGTCATTCATAAGTTCAAATTTGCCACCGGGGCATGCATTCAGTCCTCCCAGATCGTTTCCAGGTCGATGTCGCCACGCCGCTCAGCACCGCAGACGCTCCACCGCTTCCGCTTGTCTTTGGAGCCAAAAGCCATTGTACGACCACGGGCGGGCAGGTCCAGACTTCCCCGTCCTTTTGCATCCGATGAGTCCCCTGCCTCTGTTATCTCAGCCGCAGCCTTTAGCTGGGCCTGTTTCTCGGCTTCCAGTGCCGCCTCCTCAGCATCGGGCGAGTCCGGGATGGTCTCCAGGCTCGAGATACTGGGGCTACGCGATCTCAACGATGTCGGCGTGGAGGGCACAGAGGAAAGGGCCCCGTAACTGCTGGAGAAAGGGTCATATGCTCTGTAGAGAGATGACGAGCTGGAGGTTGGTGTGCTGGGCAGGGTCGGAAGAGATCCAGTGCTGGACTGAGAAAGATTTCGAATCGGCGACGAGGGCCGGCGAACTCGTGCTAATGTGCCATTGGTCGAGACACCCAGTACCGGGGAGCCGCTCCGATCGGCAGGAAGTCGGTCGTGGTCAAGGACTGATGTCCGGACGGGAGAAGTCATAGGAAACGACTCATCCACTAGTTTCCGCGGCGTGCGGACTCTACTAGGCGATTGCGCCGGACTGGCTGGACGGAAATGGGGAGAGTAGAGCAGGTGGCCCGAGCCAGTGACGCCGGGCATGGACTGTGTACGGCCCATGGGCGCGGCGCCGATGCTAGCAGCGGACCGTGAACGAACATGAGCGCTACCAGAAAGAGGAGACGTTGTCCGGGGGCGATACGGAAGGGCGACCATAGGGGTCCACGAGAAGGCGTTTGTAGATGTTGGGCTTGGGTCTGTGCTCCGCCGCAGGTTCGGGGGTTTCCTGGCCATGTCAAAGTCGAGCGTAGAAAGATTGGCGCGAGCCTTGGCTGACGGAACGGTACGAAACTCCTCCATGCGCTCCGTCTCAGGAACGGGCTCCATCTTGAGGGCCTTTGGAGAATTGCATACGGGGGAGGCTGCGACCGAAAAGTGATGTTACCGGTGAAGATGAGGTTATCCGACAGCAAAGGCACGGAAACGAGTTTGGCGAGAGGGAAGAAAAAAGCTGTGAGAGAGGGTGCTGTCGGGGTTGTCGTGACCTCTTTTTTTTTTTTCCTTTTGGCTCGAGGGTGAGGCAAAAGTATCAACTCGGTGGAGAGAAATGCGGAGGGTATCAGGTAGGTGGATATGAATCAGCGCAACAGGGCTGACACAGCGTGGAACGACCTGAGAGAGTCGACGTCTCAAAAGCGCCCGGGCGTCGAGTGACAATCAAGAGTTGCAACCGGTGAGCGCAACGGCAATGGCGGCGACCCGACCTTTTTACAGGTTGTCAAGGCCAGCCGACATTCCTGTCTCCTGAGACTGGTGAGGGCAGGGGGTGGGCAAAATAAAACAGCGGCGTCGGCGCCCTGGCAGGCCAATTCCTGGGCGCGCGAGCCGATTCGGGAAAACCGCAGGCCTGAGTCCGAGATAGCCGGGCGATGCAGGCAAAGGCGAAGGCGACGGACGAACTGTGCTGAGAGGCCGACGAGGATGAGGTTGAAGCAGGAAGAAGAGGAGGAGGAGGAGAGACGACGAAGACGAAGCTCCGAGTCGGGATTATGGAGGGGAGAGGGAAAAAAAAGAAAGCGCCCCCCTCAAGGGTCCTTCTTGTCGACGTTGTGTGGCAGGCAAGAGCCGTCCGTCCAATTCGGCTGCCTGTATCGAGCAGGTGGGCGTCTATCGATTGCCTGTCCAGGCGGTACCGCGCCAGCCACTGGCCGCTGCAGGGCTTCGCATGTCGCCTTTGACCACTGCAAGTGTCTGTCTAGTGGCGCGGAGAAGGCGCGCCACTGGAAGCCCGCTGTTCGTTTCTGGGCCTCTTCCAGGTCCCTCTTCCACCACTGGGCGAGTCAATGCGCTGAGGGAAGCCCCTAAAAGGGCGCTCCCCGACATTTCGACCTGCAAAATAGCGCCTATTCAGGCCGTGCTAATGCACGCTCCATGTACTCTACATGTACATGCCACATGCAGCCAGGTGCGTGCGTCGGCCATGTACCTCACGGCTGCTCTTCCAAGTCCTTCCCCAAACCTGATGCAAAGGTTGGAACCGAGCCTTATCCGGCCAATCAACAGCGCGCAAGTACATGACTAAAAAGACCCTGAAGTGTTCTGGTGTTCGTCAGGTACATCAAAGATGTTTGTTGTTTCGACTCTGTCAGAGAAGAAAAAGAAAACACAATTTGTCAAAAAAAGCCTGATGCCATCCGCGCCACCAAAAAGGGCGAACAAAATGGAATTTGGCTAATTCGCTGGGCGAGCACAATATCCTCATCCCCCCAAACGCCAATGGCCTGAGCTAGCGATACTAGCCTGCGGCAGGATGGAACTCGACTTGACTCGCTTTGCCGGGCTTTCGACCATTGACCCCCATTAGGTGCTAGCAGTGTCGCTCCCCTTCACCGACAAAGTGCCCGTTAGACTCAACATGGGGAAAACCGCAGCAACATAAATGAAAAAAAAAAAAAAAAAAACTCGAACCTTGAAGTTGCCACTACGGACTGCCCGGCTTCCGCACTCCGGCCCACGTTGCGAGGAAACGCCCAAAAAAAACACCTTCCGAGCTTGTCGCCGCCGTCTTACTCAGCTAGCGTGGGAGGCGTCAAGGGAAAGAAGAAAAGAAGGATTTGACATGGAAGAAATCTGTCAAGCCCTTCGGCGATATAGTGTCGCGTCTTTTTTTTTCTCCCTCCCTCCCAACTACATGCTAGCCCTCTTATCAATCTTAGGTTGTCATAAGATGTCATTGTGCCCGTTTTAAAAAAAAAATTTAAAAAAAAAAAGTCCCCTTAGCGGATCGTGGCTGCTGGAGCCGGAAAACGCTTGCATGTGTAGAACAAATGACGCGCCTTTCGCGGAGCGGAGCAGACCAGAGCATGCAGAAGATCAAGGCATGTGATGCGAAAAGAACCAAGGCAAAACCTCCAAGTTAGTAGAGCACTGTTGATGTTAGCTCTCCTGCAAGACATTCCTACTAGATACTGGAGCTCACCAACACGCGGGGAAGTGGGCGGAGGAGAGCCTTGGTGGAAATGTCACATGTGGATTATCAACTCAACGTAAGGCGCAAAACTCCTCTATGATGCAACCAACCAGATATTAAGTCACAAGCGTTGCTAAATAGGTGGTTCTAAACCAATTCATTCACACTTACGAGATCAACGGGTTTATAACCGCGTATATATGAGTTGTGATCAACTCTCAAGCCGATAACCCGATACCGGAGAGGAAGCTACCCTGTATCTGCAAACTAAACTTGCGGGTAATACTCAAGATTCTGGCATTGAGACAAAATGACGCAGCAAATGGAACGACGCGTTCACTGTTTTGAAAGTGTTCTTGATGTAGATCGTTTGCGGTATTAGGATGCTCTCTCGTATTGCTCTGCTACTCCATTGGCTGGCGCCGAGTTGCCAATCATCCTCCAATCAACGAAGAGCCAGGTGGTGATTGGGATTATTCATAAAAAAAACCATGTGATATTTCCTGCACAATTCAAGATGAGTTGAGCTGATGATTTTGCTTGTAATAGAATACCATAACAGATAGAGATACGGAGTCAAGAAATTGGGATTAAGTGAATAAACGCTGTGTTGACATATTATTACAAGCAAAATCATAAGCTCATAGCATCCTCCAGCTTAACATCATCCTGCCGTATTGGCAGCTCTCCCTGGAGTATCCCCTGACTAGGAGGCTTTGACGATTCCCTTGTCCCATTCCCGTTCACCTCACCAGACTGCTTGATATGCCGATACACCCTGACCGAGCCATCCTGCCCCGCAGTCGCCATCGTCTCGCCGTGGACGTCCACCCAGAAACACACGCCCTCGTGGCCATGCACCCGCTGAAGCAACTCCTTGTTCTTGACGTCCCAGAGTATGACGTCTCCGTCCTCGCTTGCGGAGGCGATGAATGCCTCGCCATCGAGGACGCCAAAACAGCCACCAATAGCAAAGCTCTGATTACAATGGCCCTGGTACGTCTTTTTGACGCTACCCGAAATGTAGTCCCATAAGCGAATGCAATTGTCGAGGTTGAACGCGAGGATAAACCGGCCGTTGGGAGAAAAGCAGACGTTGGTTACGGCCGGGTTGTCTTCGTGGACCAGAGTCCGTAAGCACTGGCCGGTCATTGTGTCCCATACACGGCTTCACAAGTATTAGCATACATGCGATTTCAGGGCCGTATACACACAGAATGCGCAAAACTCACATCAATCCATCCGTTGAACAGCTCACGACCAAAGTGCCATCTCGGCAAAAGTCGATGCCTGATACAGGGTCACTGTGTGCGGGGAGACTCCTCATCAACCGTCCGGCCCGTACGTCCCAAAGGAATACAGCTTCGTCATATGACCCGCTAGCCAGAATGTTGCCTTTTGGCGAAAAGGCCAAGCAGTGAATGTAATTATGATGTCCTCGTAGCGGCGCCATCTCCTGCCCCGCCGATTTCCGAGCCGTCGTCTTCGGTCGCCCCGTGACTCGATCCCATAGGCGGATTGCCTTGTCATCAGAGCCGCTCGCCAGTGTGTTGCTGTCCGGAGTCCACGCCACGCAGCTTACGCCAGCCATGTGGCCAACCAGTGTGTCCATATGAGCACCCGTGTTGGCATCCCATATTTTTACAGTCGCGTCGGCGGACGCAGAAGCAATGAAGCGTCCGTTCGGGGAGATGCGAACCTGCGAAACCGCCTTGGTGTGTCCGCGTAGCACGAGGCGCGCCCTGTAATTGGGCTTGAGCGGCTCTCTCGGAGGAGTAAGCTGCTGTGGTTCTGGAAAAGAGGATTCCGATCTCGACTGGGTTGTAGACGTGGGCGAGCGCGAGCGGTGTTGAGATCGAGGGGTTCTTGAGGGAGACGGCGTCAAGTGGACGGGCGATTGAGAGCGCGTCCTCGACCCAGAACTCGAAGCTGATCGCGACCGGCGAGCCAACTCTGAGGGCGGCCGCGACGGTGACTGCGACCGAGAGAAGTTGTTGAGATACTGCGCCTTGGTTGGGCTCTGGCTCAGGCCACCGCCGCGCTGCGACACTCGCCTGGGCGGGCGGAAATCATCCGGATCTCCGGCCAATACATCGGGAGAGCTCGACCGCGGAGACGGAGTATCGCCGGTCCTTCGTCGTTTGTACGGCGGAGGCGTGTCCCTCGCCAGCTCGTCGGGAGAGCTCATGGTTGAGGTTGAGGTTCTGGCAGAGGACGAGGCTGAAGCTTAAGGAAAGGCTGGCCAAGTGCAAGTAAGGCTCTGGGCTTTCTTTGGTGGGGCCGGTCGCGTCACAGGGATTTGCGGTTCAAACAAGCATATGAAGTACGTACCCTTTTTACATAAGGGGGGAGCGGCACTCCCGTACGCGGAACAGGGAATAGAGTTCTCTCGCCTTCTGGTGAGATGCTCCCGCGGAAATCTTTGCGTATAATTGCCCTTCTACGTACTTGTATAGCTACTGCATGTACCAAAGGGATTGGGTTGCTTTGTTGTACTCGCTCATACGCATGCAAGCTTGGAGCTACGCTACTAAGTCATAAGGCACAAGTATTGGCACAAGTGTAGTCAATGTCAATCTCATGTGCTTGGACACTCCTCTACAGAGTACAAAGCACAGCTCGAATCTTTGTTGCCCATGTCTTGGCAGATGGGTCGCCATTGATCTCAGATCCTAGGCCGCATGTGACAAGAGGGGACGGTTGCAGGGTACATCGATCTGACGGCGCAGATTATGGAAAGCAGAAAATGCTTTCCCTGTGGATGATGACGAGGCTCATCATTGTCAAGGATGTTGTCAATACTGCTGCGTACTGTGAAAACGGCGTTTGCCGTGAAACAGTTCCGTTGTCCTGGAGCATTGGGTTTGCCCCTGACAGGACCCTGTTCATCCCAAGGTACGTGTACGAGTACGTGTACCTGCGCACTGTTAATATTCGTTCAATGTACTCGTAAAGGGAAGAACCCAGGATCATCAGGTCAGATTAATCAATATGACATCAGCCTTCGACCAACTATTGATCAAAAAGTCCTGCCATCGGAGAGTTGTGCGACTATAAGTAATCACGTTTATTTTAATCATATCCTGTGTGTGCCTATGGGCAAGAAGGTTATAACTTAATTGAGTGCTTCCCCCCGGTCTCCTCTTCACGTTCCTCGTCTGGTACTTAAAGTCCAAACCCTAGAGGAGCGGATGCCACAAATGGCATTCCGTGCAGAAGGTAGCGAGCAATTGAGCCTTTTACCAGTGTGCAGATGTCTCTTATCAGCTGGACAAGGCGAGGTTCACCCTCGGATGGGTCCGTTGAGTCATGGAACAAAGGGCGGAAGCAATCCAGGCTTCTAGAAGCAAATGAGCTACGGAGCCACGACAATAATAAGCTGCCGCCATCTTGCATTGAGGGGCTGGCAACGATCTTGGCAAAAACGAGTGCCGGTGAGCATCCACCTGCCTGTCTGAGGGCACAAAGAGGCTGCGAGCTGCCTTTTTCTCAAAAATAAGTTGCAAAACCCCCGAAGCGTGACGGGGCACACGATGCATGTAACTCGTACGAATATCTCCGCCATACTCTACTCTAAACTCGGGGAGTCAGCCGTCCTCGTACAACGACTTGCACACCGCCCCTCCTAAATTTCGGCGAGTACCCGAAAGGCTCTGGTGATGAAATGAGGGCTCGGACGGGGATGCTGTTCCGCACGCCGCCCAGTAAAATGAAAGGCGAGGAAATGAAAACACTTTTGCGCGTTTGCTGTGACGGCGCATGCATGACTGGCTTGCGCGCGCCGGCGAATCGCGGCGCGAGCTGGGCAGCGCTTGAGATGCACCTCGGCGTTCTGGGCTAAACACTAACGAGGGGCGTTCGATAGCCTGGGAATCGGGCATTTCCTATTTTAGCACAATGGATCAACCGGACGCGACGTGAATCCAGGCACAGGCACAGGAACAGGCACAACGGCTGACAGCGGCGAATCACTCGCTGTGACTTGCGGGGGGCAGATGGAACTGGCTAAAATGGCCCCGGAGAAGCCACTGATGCATTGATCCTTAGTCGCACGAGCTTTGCTGCTTTGAAAGCGTAAAAGAGGGCGCCATAACAGCTTAGTTGTAAGCATAGCCATGGATGGAGGTAGAGCTCACAGGGATCCCGCTGCGACATGCACGCCACAGGAGCCGCAAATTGAGTGCCAGCGCTTACTGTATTGTACTGGCCATGAGCTTCCATGATGAATGAAGGAGAAGGGCAGAGAAGCTTGGACTCGTTTGTGTTTGCTGGCTGCATTCACGCAGTCACACCAGACTTTAATTACCAGCCGCTCCGACGACTGGGATGGCGGGAATCCGCCTCGCGAATCACTTTAGTCTGGACGCCACGGCGGTCTGAGACTCTTTAGCTGAGAGAAGCCGAGAAGCTGAGCGAAGCTGAAGGAGAGCTGAGGAAAGAGAGGAGTGTGAATGAGGCTGGCCTTTTCACGCTTGGCAGGACGATCAGTACCTTAAACCAAGGGGAATAGAATTTGGTGAGAATACTAGCAGTAGTAGCAGCTCGGGGGGCTGGAGTTGGTAGCATCGCACACGGCAGGGTCATTCTTTCATCATCGATGAGGGCAAATTCCTGGCTGTGATTGCGCGATATTCGATAACGGGCCGGTTCTAGCTGCGGTTGGATGGATAGCAACGGGATTTTTTTCTTCTTCCCTTCTTCTTTTCCGTCAATGCGTCAACGGGTAGCCAAGGCAGCAAGCCTAGCCACATGGATGAATGACTGTGGTCGGACAGTCTCAGTCTCATGGCAACGCACGCCATTTCATCAAGGATTTCACCTCAACCAACGACCAACAACAAAAGAGCGAGCGGCACAAGCTTCCATGAGCAAAGAACCTTGAACCTTTGCAGCACCCACCGCACACACAAGTATCGGTACAGCACTCGTAGCACCTACAGCACAGCACAGCAGCCAACGTGACGTTGGACGGCGAATGGAGCCCGTGCCCGTCTCGTGGCCTGGCCTGGCGATACGGAGTAATCAATATCCTCAACTCCATCTTTGCCAGACCGAACAGCCCCAAGTTACGAGCCGTGAAATAACCTGGCTCAGCCCTGTCTGCACCTCATCAACTAGCAGCCAATCAGCAGCGCCCGCCGGCAGCGTAATTTGCTTTTTTGCCCCTGACGGCCGGCGCCCCGCTTTTGCCGGCCAGGTTGCAGATACGTGGTTCGTCAACTTTTTGCTGCAGGAACAGCGACAGCGACAGGAACAGGAAATGCATAACCTTGAAAAGTACCCGTCCCAAGCTAGAGCGGCTAGCTTCAGCGACTTGAAGCAGTGCCCCCTTGGCCCTGGTCGTGACTGGATGTACCTGTACCCTGCAAGTACTTATGTACTGTACTTAGGTTAGTAGCTCTACTTGTACGCCAATGGTCTCGTCGGGAGGCAATCTCACGATGGCTGCACGCTGGCGGCCCATCAATCACTACAACAGTCTCTGCAACTATACGGTATTGCTGCCTACCTGTACAGCTGTAGGTATAGTAGATTCTCAGCTTCAACGGACAGAGCGTATCATACCGTATTCATGGCTTCAACAGCAGCGGTAATCTCCTTCGTGGTTACATGTGCCATGCATGAGCCATCGTCTGCTTGTAGGGGCTCGGCCAGTCCACGCCAAAAACCCACATCCACTCGCGCACAGCTCGCCTAACCGCGCTATTGCGTCCGCTGGGATCAGTGGCTACTGTACCTTACGAGTCCAAGGGTCCCATCGGCGCCTGTCTGTACGTGTACCTGTACTTGTCAGTGTTTGGTGTGCCGGGCGTCTGGCTCAGAAGCTGACCGGGGGGTGGCCTATTCTCTACCCGCCTAGACCCTCATGAAACGCTCATGTGCTCGTGCTTATTATCTCACCCTCTCCCCCATTCCATCCACCGGTTTCTGTTCTTGTTTCTCCTTCACCCACACTTCAGGCTCAGCCGCATAACGCTCCTTTCAGCTTTTTGCATACCAGTCATTCATTTGTCTTTACGACAACCACACTCTTTTTTCTTTTGAACCATTTTCATTCATTCTTGCCTTCGAACCCAAGTAACTTTTTCGTTCAACTTCACTTCGTCAAGATGCGTTTCACTCTGACTGTCCCTGCTTTCCTGGCTCTGGTCTCCGCGGCCTTTGCTCAGACTGCCGACTTCGACCCCATCACCGTGCCTACTTCCAACGAGGAGATCACTTCTGGTGCTCCCTTCACCGTTGAGTGGACTGTTCCCGCCAAGTATGCCGCCGACACCATCACCATCGAGCTGATCGGTGGCCCTACCCAGGCCACCCAGCAGGTCCTCGCAACGATTGCCAGTAAGTTGATGCTCTCCAGAGCCCAGGTGCTCTACTCGGTTGCTAACATGGCAAACTAGCCGGTGTCAAGAACAGCGCCAAGACCTTTGTCTGGAACGTTGATGCCACTCTGGGCAGCCAGGCTTTCTACGGCCTCATCTTCCGCTCCGAGAGCAACCCCGACATCTTCCAGTACTCCAACCCCTTCCACATCAAGACTGGAACCGTCAAGGCTAGCTCTACCACTCCTGCTGGACCTGCCCACACCTCCTCTGGCAGCTACGGAAACCTCCCTCCTGCCCAGAGCTCCGGCAGCTACGGAAACCTTCCCCCTGCCCAGAGCTCCGGCAGCTATGGAAACCTCCCTCCTGCGGACACCACCACTGTCACCACCTCCACTGGTGTCAAGACCGTTACTCTGGCCACTCAGTCCACCACCGAGGCTCCCGTCTACACTCCTCCTGTCTACACTCCTCCCGTCTACACTCCTCCGGCCGTCACTGATGTCACCGTCATCCTGAACGCTACCACCACTGTTCCTTGCCGCAACTCCACCATTGCTCCTCCCACCCTGAGCGCTCCCACCACTCTGCAGAGCGCCACTCGTCTGCCTCCTCCTCCTCCCAGCTCTCCCATCTACGTTCCTCCCGGTGTTCAGACCACCTCTACCTGGGTTGCTCCCTCTGCTCCTTCGGCCTCCAACCCCTCTGTCACCGCTCCCCCCACCATCCCTACCAACGGTGGTGCCCGCGTTGGCGGCAGCGCCCTGGCTCTGGTTGCCTCCCTGGTTGCTGCTTACTTCGCTCTGTAAGCGAGAGATGCGAGAGATGTATGGAGATTTCGGTTTTTAATCGGCTTGTGGGTTTGACGCCAATTTCGTCTACGGGAGCCTACAGCTCTGGTTTTTTACAGTTGATTGCACATATTTTTTTACTTGGAAAAGGGGAAGAAGATTGGTTCTGGTCCGAATCTATCTAGATACACTTGCGGTACGATGTCTGTTTTTTCACGGAACCATGTCGTTTTCGATGTAGGATATTTAGCGCCTGCGTGTTAATAGATTGGTTCTTTCTTAATTGATAATGAGTTTACGAGTTGGATCTGCGTCTACTGCGACTTGTGAAGTTACGAGCCCATGTAGAGTAGGACTCTTGTGTCTGTGAATGGAAGGTAGAGAGATGGCAAACGCTCATCGCAATTCTCTCGGAGCCAATGGTGGACCTTGGTCACCGAGGCTGCCATACTCGTACTGGTACGAACAAAGTAAGCGACGATCCCTCTCCTCTCCCCGGTGATGAGACATGGGGAGCGGTTGAGCGGCTATACTAGAACATGGGGCCCGTCTGCTTTGGCGATGAACGACTCAACGGGGCAATTGATCTGCAGTCGGAGACAATGACGCATGATGAAGAGACATTTTTGCCCTTGCTTGTAGAGCAAGATCCATCATAGTGTCTCAGAATCGCGACGAGATCCAACACCCATCCCTTGCTGTCTACTTCCATTATCATCTTGCTGATAGGTACCTAATAATACACCACGGCATGAGTAAGCATGTATCGGATTCGGTCGTAGAAACAGATGCAAGGGCGGTGCAAAAAAACCTGGGCCAAAAGGGGTTGTATGTGTATGTGTGGTTTTTTCCCCTAACCGACCTGCCTCAGTCGGTTTAACGCAGGACGCATTGCATTGCTGCGTTAAAATGGCAGCGTCGCAGTAGCTTAGGGGTTGAGTTAGGTACTAAGGTAGTGTGAGCCTATTTTTGGGTTGGGCAGTACATGTGTCAGCTTCATTTTTTTTTCCATCTTTTTCTTTTTCTTTGATGTTTCTTTTTTTATGTGTGGCTGGTTCTAGGGTGGGATTGTGGCTGAATAGCTGAATACACGTATGATGAGCTACAGTTGCGTGTGGATATATTCGTGCCGAAGGGCACTGTATGTGTTGGGCTGAGCATTGGTTGAACGGAAGAATCGATGTCTGCTTCATCTTGGACTACTGGTTTATGTACGGAGAGACGAGCCACCTCAATTTGGTTATCCATCATGGAATCCAAATTACTTACAGGGAGCTAGCAGAACCTTATAGATAGCCGCTGGTAAACAATTATAGCAGATGATACAAAAAGATAGCGACGGTAGCAGGTAAAGTATGGTAAAAATAGGCATCAAGGTAGATGTTGGACGGGGGTTGAGAGAGTAGCACATTCAATATACCGTACATATACTTGCTGTGCATCTCAATGTCGAGCTCTTGATATTGTTGTCGCCGGGATACTGAGATAGTCAGTTCATTTGCTATATGTCATATACTCTATACATTACCAGGCTTTTATGGTGTAGAAATTACATCAATTACCGAATGGTACTATTTGGAACACAGCATAGAGAGATGTCTTACTTGCAGATGGCAAGACAATGGAGTCGTTGAGGGACTGAGATGCTCCAAGATGCCCCGCGTGTTCGCCCTCATCTTCAGCTCCATCCCCACACAATATGTACGTTGGAATGCTGAGTAGCATTTTGATGGCCTCATTGCCTGTTCCGGACGCCTCACTTCAGCTGCCCACATGTCGTACTGTCTAATAACGCTCACGCAGAGATGAGGTTGCTTTGACTCATTCATATAGCTTTCACAAGACACTCAAAATCTCCACTAGTCAACAACAACTTTAACCAACTATATCAACACGGCGGTTAAGCATAGCCTGGAAGTCATTTATAATAGAAAGGTACCTACTAATGTATCTATCTCAACACAGCTGAAATGCTTATTCGGCATTCCAATCACTGGTGCTTGGAGCTAAGCCATAGCCGGTAAGAGGGGCAGTGAGCGCCGGTTGACGGAGCAGAGGGGCCTCGATTTTTTTTTTCTCGCTCTCACATGCTGCGAGACACAATGACAGCTTCAGCTCAATCATTTCCCTCAGAGTTGTCCCTGATCCTAGGCACCTCTTGTCGTCCGTCTTGATTGAAGCATTCACCAAAGATCCATTGTTTGTAAGGCCACCATTTTTTGTTCCTCCTTTTGTGTATAAAGCAAATTGCGCTGATGTCATAAAGGATCGCATTCTATCCGCTCCGGCTTTGGTGGGGTCAAGAGTCACACTCGTCATTCTCATTTTCTTCTTCTTCTTCTTTGCATCTAGAGGTGAGCATTTCTTTGAAGGAGTGTGAACAACCTCCGCTAATACAGCAATTGGATTGCTTTCCCTCTGCAGTCGCGCCGCCATGTCCTCTCAAGCCGCCCCAAAGACCTGCAAGGTCATCACGGCCGAAACAATCGCAAAGAAGCTGCTGCTCGAGGTCAAGGAAACCCTTGCCAAGATCCAGGAGACCGGTAGCAGTGCCCCGACCCTGGTAGCATTCCTTGCAAACGAGGACCCTGCCGCCATCAAATATGCCGAGTGGTCCAAGAAGACTTGCGAGGAAAAGTGAGAAAAACACTGCCCATGGTTGCAATCTCTACGGCAAAAAGGTACTAACTGCCTCTTCAAGTGGGTTCAACTTTGAGCTGCGCATCGTCGACAAGGATCTTCTCGAAGAGGACATTATGAAGGCCAACGAAGATGATGCCGTCGACGGAATCATTGTCTACTACCCAATCTTCCCCAAGAACCCCACCCACGACAAGTACGTCCAGGAGACGGTGGACCTTTCCAAGGATGTCGAGGGATTGCGCCACAGCTACCTGCACAACATGTACCACAACATTCGCTTCTTGGACGCTCCCGAGAACAAGAAGAAGTCCATTCTGCCCTGCACGCCGCTGGCCGTGGTCAAGATTCTCGAGCACCTCCAGATCTACAACCCCATCCTCGCTTACGGCAACCGCCTGTTTGGCAAGACCATTACCGTCATAAACCGATCCGAGGTGAATGGCCGCCCTCTTGCGGCTCTGCTGGCCAACGACGGTGCCACAGTCTATTCCGTAGACATCACTGGTGTTCAGCTCTTCACTCGAGGCCAGGGAATCAAGAAGCCTCGCCATCAGGTAGAGGAGAAGGAGGGCTGGGGTCTGGAGCAGTGCCTGCCATTGAGCGACGTCATCATTGGAGGAGTGCCGGCCGAGTCATACAAGGTGCCGACAGAGCTCATCAGGGACGGTGCTGTGTGCATCAACTTTTCCTCATTCAAGAACTTTGATGGAGACGCCGTCAAGGACAAGGCGTCCATCTACGTGCCATCCGTCGGAAAGGTCACAATTGCCATTTTGCTGAGAAATCTTGTGGTGAGTGTATTTTTTCTTTACCTTTGGAGCTGAATCTTGATAAGCTAATTGAGCAGCGTCTGGTTGCGAACCGTCCCGCCAAGGAGACGTTGGATAAGAGCACCATCCAGGCCCGAACCGAAGCCTTTGCCGACGACTGATTAGATTCAAAGGATCTAAGACAATAGTCCTTACAGAGACAACCTTTTCTTTCTCCCTTTCTTAAAAAAAAAAGACTAAAATAACGGCATTTTACTGGGTGGGCCATGCAGGGGGTCTTCACTTTTGATTTTGAGCTCCGGGGGCAGGAAAATAAAAATAAACAGGACGAAACGGCTGGTCGATCTCGGCCCGCAGCGGACGCAAGCAAGGCACGTTTGATTACCTACAGTAGATGGATTGTGAAAAAGTTTCGAGGGGCAGCTAAAGCGAGAAGACGAAAAAATCTCATAGAAGAGTTACGGCATCTTGTACCACTCTGTAGAAGCAGAATAGTTGGGCCAAGCGTTCTCCAGCACGGCGCGTACAAGTACCTGCGCAACCGATCCGGTGCATTTGGCTCCGTGTTACGCGGCCGAATGATTTGATGCCATCCGAGCCGCGGAGTTCGAGTATCTGTATCTGTACAAGATTTGGCGGAGCATACTTGTAGACACATACAGCACGGAGCCTTGAAGTTGGCCTCGCGAAGAGCATTAAGCCAAGCACTTGGGAGGGTGGAGCTGGACAATGACGCGGCTCTGCAAACGAGAATGGCAAAATGAAACGTCTGGATGCAAAGATCGTCCACGGGTAAATAGGTTGAAGGCAAGAATTGACTAAATTGAAATTACATGAAGTGTGCTTGTGAGAGGCGTCGAAAAAGGTGGCATGATCTGCCGTGTTTTGTTTTCTTCTTCTGCAGCTATAATCTTTCTCTTGCCTTAACCGTCATTGTTCCTTGTTTTAGGCGCATTAGCTCGCTGCTTACACTCTACCTTGTACCCTCGCACAGCTGAATATATGAGGTCCGACTGGCATATACGAGTACAGGTACTAGCAGTAACAACCAAGGTACATGTACTCCGTAATCAGCACGGCCTGGATACGACCCTTTTTGACGGGATATTAGACCAGGCCAACGGCGCATCCAATCAATCGACCGAGTCCCTGTCAGGACTAGAACAGGTACCAGGCAGGTGGAGCTTCAGGTACCGCGCCCCCAGAAACGGCTTAGTAAAGGACACCGCGGCTTTTGGGGGGAAAGGAAAGAAAGAAAAAAAAAACGAAACGAAACGAAACGGAAACGGGGAGAGATTACGAGCATCGGGGTAAGATTATGCAGCCCTCCACCGCATTGACTGAGAGTAAGACTACCGGTACTTGATTTTGTTTCGTTTTGATATACGAGGAGGTAAGATGCTCGAAACAAGCAGAGCAGGTGCGACGCTGATTCGTTTCAATACCTGGAAGGTCACTCTGTCGCACACGGGCATGTATCTTCCTTGTACTGAGGCAGGACTCGTGGTAGTTGAAGCATCGTATTCTCCATAGAGCCTTTTGCGCTATACGGTAGTACTGCTCGCACAGTTAGTATGGAGCCCTTTTCCCGATTCTCTACACGTA